TTCGAGATATCCTAACATATCTACAGTTCCCAGTACCGCCAAATTGGCAAGCGACACTTTCTTTTTGCACTTTTTGGTGCCATGCTGTCAACCGATAACGATCTGTATTTTTTACGCCTGTCACTGCATACCTCCAAGGTTCCACTATCATCCTTTCCAAGTACGAGAGCAGTAGTGCGCCACTTTACAGTCGCCTAGCGCTATCTTATATTATACGATCCTGGGTGCACTCAGTGAACAAGCATTTCCTCAACTGGAGCTGACGCAAAACATGTGCCTCCCGTTCACGGTATCTTGTCCATGTCGAGGAGAGTGCAGTGCCAATGAAGAGCGATGGCAACCTAGGGAGTGCGCAGCCACGAGGCCGCCTACCAAACAGCCCTCCATTTGCATTCGTTGAAGACTTCAACACCCACTACTGGTGCGGTTTATGGCGATCTGCATGAAGAGTCGTCCCAGATAAGGCCACACGTCACTACACTTGCGTACTCACTTGTCGCCTTAGTACTGGCACTGTCACGATAGCCTGGCGAAAGCTTCATAGCTATGAGCGATGCAAAACGGTTTTACACCACGTGGAACAGCCTGTCATCTAAGGTCGTCCTTATATCCCCTTCCGCAATGAAGCGGGGCCTCGATGGCTCCGAACAGGATCTTGATGCCATCCTGAAGTCCCTGACGAAGGCACCGGATCACCAGTATGGAAGCTCGGCCCTGCCGATACTTTCTGTGATTACGTACGTGCTGGGACATGTTTGATCCTCCTACTTTTGTGGTTCGTCTCAGCTCACTACATGTAGTTTGTCTTATATCGGAGAATTTGTCGGCCGTGGATATCAGAAAAGCACTTGATTATCTCCTACTACTGCGTACACCGGGTGGCGTAACAGCTAATGTTTTCCCTTTCACCTGTAATAAGTGATGGCAGGATAGCAATAACGAAAGTTGTATATGTTTAACGCTCCTTTAGCCATCCTGAAAGATCTAATACGTCCCTGAAATTATTCAGGCTTTTATATTACAGAACATACAATCTCTGATTTGACAGCGCAGTCAGACGCAGTAGACAAAAAGTATTGCAGCGCCTGATGCATGTCTCCATAGTTCTGAATCCGCGCCTATTGTTTTCGATACCAATTTCTTCTCAATCCTCTCACTCCTCTTGGATAGCAAGATCGAGAGCGGTTGCGCCAGCAGATGTCGGTCGCTTAAGCAGTCCAGCTGCCCTTTTGGCCATACCATTTCCACACCTACATATGCTACGAGGTCGGCGAGATGATCTTGGAATTCATCATCTTAAAGCGTTTCCCAAAATTTCGACGCAACCAGTGTAGCCTTCAAAGGTAATGAGGCTTATCGTGCTATGTGTTTTTGCTCTCAACCAACATCGTGGGGCGCCTTGAAGAATTCCAGGCTATCGTATCTGCGTAAGAAAATTACGGTGCAACTTCGGCCTACCGTCGAAGATTCCTCTACACCTCTTACACATATGTCGGCGGTGTCTGCATCTCTTTCACACTCTTTTCGAAAACTCCACCACTCCACATTGAACCTTCGGTCATCTGACCCATGCCATACGTGCTACTACAATATGCGTCATGGAGGCCACTGTTAATTACCCAAAGATTCACGTCCGACAGACGCCATCGACCACTGTCGACAGCTTCGTCATGGTGGATTAGACTCAGGTGCAAACGGTTGAGACTATCCGAGCAACATTCTGCCCGACAGACAAGCCGCGTACCAAAGAAGAGGGCTTGAACGTGGCAACAACGATCCTGTCCCACCACGGACAGCTCCCCTCCAGTTTGAGCAGATCGTGGCCGGCACCGGGCACCCCAAGAAAGAGCAGCAGAAATGGTTCGGCACAGAGTCCAGCAGCTGGTACAAGCGCATTCAGACCCAGCTATTCTCTGAGTTATACGGGGAGAGCTCATTCCTGCAAGAGTATATGAGAAGCGAAGCCTCATCTGAGAACTATCACGTCGCCATCACCAACTGGGAGCTCGAGGCCAAGATACTTCGACTTGCTCGAGCCTTTCCCTCCGCGCTGTAGTACGGCTTTGTGTCTTTCGACCCATTGGTGAACGGCATGGTTCGAGGAATTCGAACAGGAAAGTCGAGACCATGTTCTTTGCAAATGCCCGCTTCTCTCATGGCACCATCGAAAGCTTCCTCCATCTTTGATACTGACTGTTCAAGAGATATGCACGGGTTTGCGTGCTCTGGCCAACAGGGCGGTGTGTGCGGACAGCACTTGCGCGCCTCTTGCAACACTGTGTCCACATCATCGAACTCGAGACGCCTCCGTACTTCATTTGCGCAGGTGGCCCTAGCCCGGTTCTGACGCTCAGTCTCTTTGTTGAAGTGTAATGGGGAGTCGCAAGCATTTTTATGACAGAGATGCGAGCGCTCCTTGTCGGAAAGCATCTCATCCCAATGGTCCTTGTCATATCCCTGGCCGCGACCGAGTGCAATTGCGTGTATAACTCCATACATCAGGATTAATTTCTCGATCCTCTTATGCTGCCTGCACCAGATTGGGAATCCTTTCTGCTGGCGCTTCTTGTCGGTGTCGTCGGCACTGGTGAAGAAGCACCCAAGCTGTTTCACATTGTCACTGATGTCAGGCGCCGCCTCCAGAGACCCCCCATGGCTGAAGATTAGGGATCTAGACGAGCAGCCGCTGCCGGCTGGCTCGCTCAATGGCGGCCTGCACGTCGACATCGTAGAATGCGTCGCCCGGATCAAACGATACTAGCACGACAAGTCAGTTTGATTTCACACAACGTTTGTACGTCATCAACTTGCCTTTGTTGCCGCGAAGAGCTTCAGTTGTTCCGGTTCAGACGCTGTCTTCACTGATGGCCGGGCCATGCCGCCACCACCTGGTATTTCACGAGATCGTTGATGAGCATCGCCCCTTGAACTCGGTGTTTTCCGAGGACCTTCTCCCTTCTGCTCAGATGTATTCGCACTGTTTCGCTTGTGACGGGTTGAGAAAGTTAGAGCTTAGAGGAAAGTGAAGCCGCAACAGATTGTGGTGGAGGGTTTATGTACTAGTGTATGTACTAGTGTGGAGACGATAAACAGAGGTGAATGAGTACAACTCAAGAGCCATTCACCACGAGTTCCTGCTGGAACCTTCTTAATTGCTGAAAAGACTAAGGTGAATGGCCGGAGCAGCTTCGCCAATTTGCTATACCTTTCTCAAGGGTGTGACTGATGCGACTTGCGGCAATACTAGGGTACAGTCTTGGTTTTTCACAGGCACAATCTTGTTGTACAAAGCAATCAGGGATCGATCATTGTCGATCTCGTGCTTTGCAATCCTGTGTGTCGATTGATGCACCTGAATAGGGCCTGTAGCACCAAAAGAACATCGCCTGTGCTGGCCAGGGATAGCGTAGTAAGGGTTGCGAGGGCGGCGGACTATGAGATTCAATCGCACAGGAAAGATGAATGGTGATGTAGTGATAATATGAAATTGTGAAGCGTTGGCTTACTATACATGCAAAAGACTATGGAAAGTATGGATGGAGGAACGTTACACTTCAGTGACACGTGCACTGGAAATTTCAATGAATAGGGTATATCTAAACGAACAGAGTAAACCTTGAGAACATACACTTCTACTCATACCCACGGCTGTCGAACACCAATATGCGCAGTCATTGGTTGCGCCACAGCTTCAACATCGGCAGACCTCTCGCTTCGCACTTCATCCTCCCGATCAAGACTGGCCTCCAGTTCCCGCTTCTGTCCCGCCAAAGTTCCAGTGATCAGAGCGGGTATGTACAATCCATACATGACCTGACCCTTCTCCTCTGCACGTGCAGGCTTGTCGTCTTTCGCCTTTTCTGCTGGCTTCCCGATCCATACATTGCCCAGCAAAACAGACGCAACAATCGAGAGGCCCACGAACGGAAGTACCGAGATCAAAGACCACATAACCGCTTTCGAAGCGGCGTTTTGTACCTCCATCTGCGTAGCCGCTGGCAAGCTGTTCAGGACAGCGAAACTCGGTGGTCCCGAGGAAGGAAGATTGAGTCCCTTCGTCCGCGATGCAATGTCCCGCAGTCCCGTGTTGAGTTTATTCGAAAACACAGCTCCCATCATCGAGATTCCAATCGTCTCACCAAGCGGCAGCATGAAGCTCAACAAACTCTGCATGCTCGGAATCCTTGTGCTCCAGATCCCCGCAGCGTGGAGGACAACAGGCATGAAGCGCAGACCCGTTCCCGCGCCCGATACGCCAAGGAAAACCTTGACCATAGTCGTATCCCTGATGGACACGGAATATGCGAGCAGAGAGAGACCCACGCCTTCGACAATCGATCCCCACAGTAGCGGGAAGAAGGTCTGGCGCGGCCAGACTCTGCACAGGAAACTCGCGAGGTAGACACCCACGCCGAGGCCGGGCGTGAAGTAGAGGAGTTGGGTACCGGCTTTGGACGGCGAGTAGCCCTCGGCGAGTTGCCAGTAGTATGAGATGAAGTAAAACGCGGAGACGAGTGAGATTCCGGCGCTGAAGTTGACGATCATGAGGAGGGATGTGTCTTTCTTCCTAAACAATGTGGATGGGATCATAGGAATCTGCTTGGGGAATATGCGAGCTACCACCCGGTCTGGACCCAGGAGGTATTCGTACACGAAGAAGCCAATGCAGAGAATTGCGCCGATGACCAAAGGTGCGACAGTTGCGGCGTCGCTCCAGGCATACGAGGTACCACCCCATTGTATAGCGAGAATGATGAGCCCAATGCCCAGGATGAACATGATCATGCCAGGCCAATCGATGATGCGGAGACCGCTGATGTATCCGAGTCGTCGAGATTCTCCCGCTTTAGCAGTCACGCGGCCTTGCACGAGCTCTTTGCGCATGAGGAGGAAGATCATGACCATTGCGAGGACGGCGACACCGACGGGTAATACAAAGACGTAACGCCAGCCGGCATCCGCGATGTATCCTCCGATAACTGGGCCAATCGCGTAACTAGACATAAAAGTCAGTTTCAGTGCACTCGACATGTGGATTGTTTGTGCCAACATACCTGACACCACTTATTAGCGAGATGATCGAATTATTCGTTGCCGTCTCCGCAAGCGTTGCACCATCGGATAATATGATGCGGCTCAAGCTCATGATGCCTGCAGATCCAAGGCCTTGCAGTGCCCGTCCGAGAAGAAGCATGCCCCATGATTGAGCAGTAGCGCAGAGCACGCTGCCGATTAGGATCCAGAACATCTCAAACTGGAGTGCAAAGTGGCGACCGTAGATATCTGCGAGTTGTCCTGAAGCTGGGACAAAGGTGGTGAAAGTAAGGGTATACGCGGCGACGATCCAGTTGAAGCTGCCTGAGAGGCGATCTGAATTTCTGGTCAGTACTTCATGTTCTATGCACTGTTAGGGACGATCGACTTACTAAAATGTGAAGAGATTAGAGGGATCGCGGGAGCAACGATAGTAACGTCGACTGCCGCAAGAAAATTTGGTAATGCGAGTCCAAGCATCAGTTTCCATTGGCGAACGTTCCTCCTACGTGCCTCCTCCTTGTGCCGTGCGTCCGTTTCATCGCTGAAGGCTTTGACATGACTGTTGCTATGCGTGGTGGTGTCACTCGTTCCATGTTCCAGCTCATGCCTGACAGAGGTCTGCTGTTGTTCCTGACCAACCGCAGCTTGTGGTATAAGGTAAGGTTCGACCATTTCAGTGTCCTTGGTATTGGGGATCGCATCTTTAGCTTTGCTCTCTCTAATCTTTCTGCGAACAAGTTTGAAAAGATAGAAAGCCATGATCGCTGAACGACGATGGCAAAGAAAGATCGCTCAGGATGAAGCAAGATAACACAATATCGAAGGGAAGTCGTCTATTGGAGATAGGCATCTGTGTATTGTAGGTGGAAGGCACAGCTTATATGTAACCACCTCGTTCGCTTGCGCAGAGGATTCCCGAATAAGACCTCATAGTGGAGACTGATTGTGAGGCTATACAGCCATACTTGAGGGTAGATCTGAGGCACAAAGCTCGTATAGCCAATCGCATCTATAGCCAGGACGCATGATGTCTGTCTGTGCCGCTGAGGACAACGGCAATCTCAAGGCTGAGCAGTATCAGACTATGCCTATCTGGGGCAGCTGTGCGCACCAATCGCAACCCATCATTTCGGCCCACCACAATACGCGGCGGCATACTTCTTGGTTGCCTTGCAGACTCGATAGGGCTAACTCTTCTTTTGTATGGCTTTCGTGATGTGGTCCTTCTCGCCTACGTCTCATCTGTCATTCATGTTTGATCGGTTTCTGCTGAGGACTCGAGCGTGCAATTTCGCAAAAACTCATTCAAAATCGATTTCTGCCAGAACCCTGCCGGCATGTCAAAGGTCAGGGAGGCTACGCATAGCTTCAGGCTTTGACTAGGGTAAGCTGCTTTGATCGGTGCTATTCTTGACAACGCGCAGCACTTCCCGTGGCGCATGTCACAGCACATTAGCTCACAGATAAGCATTGCGAAGCTTTCTCTATGCGCAATAGCGGCAGTGCTTGGGTGAAGACCCCTGATGGAGCTTGAACAGATTCTGTCGCCATTGATGAACTGTAAGCACTAGAGAGAGCTCTCCCGAATCGCGCAACTGATCGCTTACGCGACGATGATGACCTCGGGGCCATGTAGGTTACGCGAGGAGACACCCGTGCGGTGTGAGTCGAGGAAGAGAAACCGCATCGAAGAGTAGGCTATCGCTGTTCTCACGCTACTGCGGACTGCTGTGGTTGAGAGAAATTCGTCTCGAAATCCTCGTGTCTACAATCTCTGGGATGCCAGTTTGGATGCACTATTGTGCATGTGGGCCTCCTGCTTACGCATTGCATTAGCCCCCGGGGGCCCTACAACTCATGCTCAGCTTGCACTTCTTCTGAGCGGATTGCGGATTGCCGTGACAGTCAAGGGGTTGGCTCAAAAGACATGTGAAGTCGGTCAGTTCCCGCCGTGGAAACGGGTGTTCGGTTCAGACATTACATAGTAGGATTAGTATAGAAAGAGTGCAGGGAACAGAAAGATCGCGCCAGAGGTCCTTGCTAGAGGATCGTACTGGAAACGTAGGGCTGAAGGACGGCCCGGGGCCGAGGCTGCCAAGGTCATCAGCGAAAGGCAGTGACGCAACTTTGGAACTCGACGCGTGCTCACCAACATCGGGCAGCTTCCCCAGAGTCGCTCAACATCCCCAACAAACAACACAAATGAAGCCGTACATTGCAGTGCCGGCTATTGCAGGACTTGTGTACCGCGCTTGGTCGCATAAGTCCTTGACACCTGTCGGTATAATCACGGCAATTGTAGTGGCAGTAATCCATGCCATCCATCCATGGAGCGTGTTCTTTGCACTGCTAGCTGTGTTCTTCCTGGCTGGTAATGCGGCAACCAAGGTAGGTACCGAAACACTTTAGAGAAAACAGACTAACGCGATCCCAGGTCAAACATGACATCAAGGCGAAACTGACACAGTCCGCGAATGGTGCATCTGGTGGGGAGGGGTCGCGCAACCACGTCCAAGTCATCGCCAATTCCGGTGTTGCTTCGGTGCTCATACTGCTACATCTATGGCATTTGAAGAGGTCGGGAAGATATGATTACAGCAAGGATCTGTGCTGGGAACGTGAAAGTGATGCGCTGGTCGTGGGAATTGTTGCGTAAGTCAAGGGTAGTATCTTGCACGACACAGTGCTGACAGACTGCAGAAACTACGCTGCCGTAGCTGCCGACACCTTCTCCTCAGAGTTAGGCATTCTCTCGAAATCGAAACCCCGTCTTATAACCGCTCCATGGCGCATAGTACCACCAGGAACAAATGGTGGGGTGACAGCAGCTGGTCTGGGCGCCGGCTTACTCGGCGCTTTCATTCTCTCGGCAACGTCCACTCTCATCGTACCGTTCTGCAAAGACTGGGACTTTGCGGCCAAGGTCTCATACACTCTAGCCTTGACTGCAGCTGGGTTCAGTGGTACGATACTGGATTCGCTCCTCGGCGCGCTCTTCCAGGCCAGCGTTGTTGACGTACACTCCGGAAGAGTCGTGGAAGGCGAAGGCGGCAGGAAGGTCCTCGTACACAGCCACCCGCTCAACTACAAGAAGACTGCTGAGATAAGGAGTGGTGTCTCCAGCCACCAAGAAGGGAAAGCCGGCATCGCGAAGACTACCGGGGCTAGTGTTGGGGATTCGCTCCAAGCCACTCGTACGATGCAAAAGGCAGGAGCTAGCGGCAATGCAGTTGCTGATAGTCAGCATGAGAGTCGCAAAATTGAGGTTGGAAGCGATATTCTGGACAACAATGCCGTCAACATCCTCATGGCAGGTTTGGTCAGTGTGGGCGCCATGGTAGCTGCTTGCATAGTCTGGGACCTCCCTTTCTCGAGCATCATTCCTACATAGAAAGTAGTACTATGAGATATATATTGCTTCTTCTCTTGCATGTCACTGAAGATTGTCAACCATGAGGGCTATGACCGGGGCTTTGCTTTGATAGAAGTCCAGAGCCTGGAAAGTTTCCTATAGCTTCAGGTCATGATTTAGTCAGACCGTGAAGATATTCTAGTCATCGTCCCGTCGCTCTGATCGGGATGAAGTAATATTACCATGTTGACATGTGGGCGGCATAGCTTCCAGGTGCCAAGACCCATGGACGCTAACCTGCGCGTCACTTCCGCCTGGAGCTCCGCAATAGCTTCAACATCAACGCCCGCACCAGCAAAGCCTCAAGCACAAAGCCCCCCAGTCCAGCACGATCCACCTCCCCGATAGCGATCTCTCACTCCAGAGTCTGCAGCTGTCACCCCTACCCAAACGATCTAACGAACAATCCTCACATCTACCACCATGGTTCGTACATCTGGGCCGCATCCTCATGTAGCAAGCTCGATGGAGACTAATGTACACGACAGTCTCTCCGCATTGTCCCACAGAAAGCCCACGCTTCGCACGCCCAGCTCGAGACATCAGCGCCATCAGCACCTGGTGTTCACGACACACTCCGCTCGCGCCTCGGCCAAACCACCACAGTATCGGCTGGCCCTTCATCAAGCAAGCCTGTCGCTCTCCAATCAGCCCACCCGCTTGAGGCCCGCCTAGTTCAGTGGCGTGAAACTCAAGACCGCGTGAAGATGGAGATGCTCAGGCGACAGTTCGGCATCGCTGAGCCCGTTCGACGGGGCATGGAGCTCAAGATCACCGAGGCGGGTGAGTGGCGACCGGCTGCACTCGGTCGCTCAAGCAATGTGCACAAGGACATTCTTGAGGGCAGGGATACTGAGATTGGCTGGGAGGACGTGTTCACTGGTAAGTCATGGTTTGCTCTGGCAAGACAGAAGGGCATTTGTCTACTGTATGTGGCGGTTGGCTAATATTTTTCTTGTAGGCAACGAGCTCCGCGAAGCACCAGACTTCCACAGCGAGATGGAGGCGAAGCTGAGGATGAACTGGTAGAGTGTTCGGCTGTTAGCTGGGCTGAGGTAATGCTATGTTCCATCGCGGAGTCCGTCGAAGCTCCTGAGACACATGTTTGGCACCCGAATCGGATGTGGTACGAAAGGCCAATGTTTCCATAGGGGTGCGCACCGAGGCGGACGGGAAGGCAGGACACTTGAATACAATCACGACCCTTGATGAACCGTGGCGTATTTCACACTGCATGACCGCTTGGTGTTGCTTGGAATTTTTTCAAATTATGCAGCGTAGTAGCCCATTGTACGAGCCGTTCGAGGCCTTGTTAGTGGCAGCGGACGTCACGTGCTCACTGCAAGGAACTGACAGAACAGCCTACCAAAGTACAATTGACACATTCCTCGCTTGCAGCCAACAAGCGCGGATTGCACACGCAGCTAAGCAAAAGCAAACTGACATTGGGGCCGTCTCTTCCTCCACACCAGCAAACCTCGGAACCACGCCTCAACCGGTCTGGCCAGACTCATGTACATGCACGCAACGTATGTTCAGTACTAACCACCAATTATCGGCCGGGGAGCATGCAGGGGCAACCGTCCCTGGGTCACCAAACCCTGGCGCGTCTCGGCATAGGCAGTCAACAGGCGGGCGGACAGGCAGTAGGTATTTGAGGTGGTGAGCCGTTCGCATAGGGTGGACGACGACTCGCAGGTGGAATGCTTCGACAGGTTGGTCTCGGCTCGCCCGCCGACGTTGACGGCAATCGATTGCGTCGGCGTGTGGTGGAGCCAGCGGATCGCTCTTGCCGCGTTTGCGAGTTGCGGAGAACAAGGCGCGGTGCCACTTCCTCTTCCTGGTCGTGCACGGTTGCCCCTTCCGTCTATCCATGATCCAACTGCTGAGACATTCACTTGCACATCTCAACACAACATCGCGTCCCTGTTCTGTCGTCCCGCGCAGCACCCTCGCCGTCCTCCCTATTACTTGCACCCCCACGACATCAGTGCTACCCGCTCGCTGCGTACCCTCCAATCGTTATCGCCGCTTGCATCGTGAGAGCAGCTAAAGTCAGCCGGCATGGCTTCCACGGGCGCAACCCAACCACCCACAGCGGCGCAGAGCAGCCCGCAGCAGGCCGCTGTAGGAGCGCGGTCAGAGAACACCGCGGAAGAGTTATCGTCGAGCCCAGTGGAGATGAGGACATTACCACCGTCCGACGCTGTGCCGGCCTCCACGACCATGGCTGCGCCAGCTTCAGCAGAGACCAGCACCTCAGCCGCCCCAGCAGAGATTACAGTTCCCCACACGACCGAGTCGATCACGGCACAACCATCGCAAACGGCTGTCGCATCGTCCGCGAAGCCTGCGCCTCCCACCGCCTTAAATCGCGCAGAGACAGAGGCCATTGGACCCTCGACCGATACGCCTGCCGCTGTCCCGGACGCCTCGAATGGCCCAGTAGTAGTGATAATGCTGCTCCTGCCATCGACAGGAGCCAGGCATCCATATAAGATTGATGAGAAATACCTCAAGAAGCGCGGTGTCGACGTTGCGGACATGGACCCATACAACATCGATGTATACACCCTAAAGGAGCTGATATGGCGGGACTGGCGGGAAGGTACGTTCAGCGCATTCACATTTCTGTTCATTTCGTGCCCCTTCGTCAGCCCAGCATGTTGCATTCGCAGCCTCGTTCATGGCAGGGCTTATCCCAGTCCGTGCAAGTCAATACAACGCTTCTACGGTCATGGGCGCAGTCACGCCAGATTTGGGTTTGAGCACGGCTAACACGACATGTACAGAATGGGAGCCTCGGCCAACATCACCGAGCTCGATACGACTGATTCACTTTGGGCGCATGCTGGACGACAAGGCACCACTGAAAGGTACGAATGCTCTCCACAATGACGCTGTATTCTAGTCCTCGCCGGAAAGACTGCAGCGTTTGATTACCCCGCCAGCACTTGTTCAATACTAACAGTGTCTAGACTGCCGCTTCCAGACCGAGAATCCCAACGTTGTTCACATGACAGTCAAGCCGCAGGAAGTGGTGGACGATGAAGATGCCAAGACTGGTAAAGGCGCCAGCAGAAGAGACGGAGAGGACGAGCCCACAGCAGGCTGCCGCTGTGTCATACTATAAGGCTCTTGCAGATTGTGCTGATGTGTCTTTTCGCAGACTGTTCGTGCCCATGTCCTGATGTAAAGACAGCCTCGATGATCGTAGCGATCTCTTTTCCATGCTTTTATTGGCGTCGAGTGTCCAAGATCGATACGACCCTTCGTCAGCATCTCATTGATCTACACATTTCGCATTGCTGGAGTTTGGACAGTACCATGCACACGCCCGGCCTCACTTGTCACGCTCCGTTCGCTGCGCGTTTGGCGGATTTACGCCAAGTTGTCGTCACAGAGACTCTCGATCGCCTTGTCCAGATCGCTCTCTTTTGTGCATAGGAGTTTGTGTGTTGGGCGCTTTATTGGTGCATCGAAGGGATTCTCAATGTCTGCTCATTATTTTCTTGTACAACTATGCGGGCTTCGGAGGGGGTGCATATATTGCTGGGCTAGAGGGCTCTGGAAATAGATAATGAGGCATCATTTGTTGGTGTCTATGCTTTAGTCGTCCCTCGTCCATACTTGACATGTGTGCAATGACCCTAAGTATCAGCCAAGGCAGGTCTGGTCGTCCATAGGTTCGTCACATGTTCGTTGTTCTGCCATAATGTGGCTAGTAAAGCTAAGACCCCTGTCGATTTGAGCTACCCTTGGATGCCGTCATCTCTCGCGATCGTTCACATCACCAAACCGCGACAATCAGAAAACGTCGTCGTGTCGCGCCACCACGACATCGACACACTACTACGCTCAAAGGACGATTGCGCACCCCAGAAAAAGCCATGGTGCTGGAAAATGTGAACGAGATGTCCCCGGACAGCTTCACCGACAACCCTTCTCCCGACCAGACCGATCCATATGCATCCTCTTCACCCTCTTCGTCCTCCGGGGTACGATTCGATGCCACTAGTCTGCCCCAACCTTTGCCGGTAATAGGGACCTTCATGGGATTTTCCGACCGGGCCGTTCGCATGAAAACCGAGATAACACTCAAGTTTGCTGAGCGCAAACTGGGTCGCAACCTATACTCGGACGAGGCACAGGCCCTTGCCTTTCACATATATCAGCTCGAGCAAACAAAAAGCTATTTCGCAGCCACTGGAGCAGCTGCAGGCGCATACCGTGCATATGCCACAATGGCCACGAATCGGTACCCATTCTACCAGCCCAAGGCAGAGTCGATTGATCCGACCAAGTTTGGGTTCATAAGAGGGCCCATGGCTCCAATGGTACGCCACGCCTGGAGGTTTTCCTTGTATTTGCTTGTGGCGGGGCAGATGGGTTCCATCATTGGGCAGTTGATCGCCCAGCCGCTTGCTGCAGTGAACACTTCAAAAGACCCCAAGCTCGAGCAGTTTGGCAACGAGCTGAAAGCAGCGACCGTTGCAGAGCAATCGAAAACAGCAGTACAAGCACGTGAAATTCAGGAAAGGAAGAGGGAGTTCGAGCGACAGACAAAGGACCGAAATGGCATGGGTCCGTCGCCGCAGGGCGCATGGGGCAAGCAGCAGCCACCCGCACGTCCCAGTGAAGATGACATGAGCCCCACGGCTGGCAACGAGGTGTGGGGAACGCAGCCATCTGCATCTGGATCATGGGATAGTTTCTCATCACAAGCGGACCAATCTACACCGCAACAATCTCAAGGACCACCATCCAGTGAAGCATGGAACCGTCGCGCACCACCAACTAGAGCACCACCCGCATCATCTTCGCCCTTTGACGATGACGCCTCTCCTACAGGCGGCATGTTCCAGGATGAGGTGAACAATGGTTCGGCCCAGCAACAGTCTCGACCCGGTGAATCAACCTGGGATCGGCTCCGCCGCGGCGCTGCGCCAGCCCCAGGTCAAAGGCCAGTGCAGCAGCCGCGACGACAAGAACCTGAGCGGCGGGAGCAGAGAGAGGGATCGACCTTGGGCGATTCGTTCACGTTCGTTGAGGGCGAAGAGGAGAGGAAGCAGTCCAGAGAGCGAGCTCAACGCGAATTTGATGAGAGACTCGAGCGCGAACGTCAAGGTAGAGACTTCTCTGAAGATCAGGGTAAAAGATGGTAATCTAGCTGCGGGCCAAAATGCGTTCTGGTCAGAATAGCCTGCCGATATACTGCTTCTTTCTGTCCTAGTACTGGACAGCTGCATTTCTACTTGTATATAGGTATTACAGAAGTACGTACCACATGTCTTCAAACATCAGCTTGCTGACTCATCGTGGAAGAGTGTCTAGTACCAGAGTTGACATCGGGTCCCCGAACCAAAAAATCATATATCCACTAGTGAATAGCTTTTGTCAAGACCTCTACCACGGCTCACCGTAGCACTCACTGAGGCCTGTAATAACTTTCAAACAAGGGCTATGCTTCTCTCACCATGATCAACTCGCCTTCACCTTGTGTTTCTCCAACTGCTTCACTGATCACGGCTCGTTAGCGTGCACTAACGCCCACGGCTTGTTTTACTTACCTTTCTATTTGAAAAGCCTTCTCCCCTACAATACCGTCAGCAGGGCCAGAGCCGGCTTCGATATACACAACTGTATGAGGAACATGGCTACCATAGACCAATTATCCGACCTGTTTACCATCTTCAAGGAAGAGCCTGCGACAACACAGCAGCCTGCGTCTACGGATATCAGCTTCGAATTTCCAAGGCGCGAAGGCTATGAGCGCAAACTATCCAGGCCGATGATGGCTATGAGGGCTCGGTATGCAAGTGCCAGGACGAGCATGCCCCATCAAAGCACGACTATGGATCCTACCAACCCAGCCACTGGACCAAATGCAGAGCCTACCTTGGATCCCTCAAAGTCTGGAGAAGGAAAAGGAAAAGCCCCGCAGAAGCATACAGGCTCTGACTCAGGAACTCACGGCTCTTCGACACCGTCCGCAACACCGGCATCATCGGCAAGCTCCAGCAGCCCGTCTGATCTTCTGGAACACTATTATCGCGCCGATCTCGGTTGGGGTTCGGGTATTGCAGAGTGCATGAGTGAGTTCAAGAATCATTTCACTGATATTGGAGCCCCTCTGCCTGAACCTGATTTCACCGCGGTGAGCACGAGCGAGCCTGCCTCTATATCACCCTCCCTCTCACGGGCTCCTGCTTCCTGGAACAACCACAGCCCCCGCCAGCTCCAATCATCACCATCTCAACTACCCAATCACACGGCATACCGAGATATCACGTCGCGACAGGCCGCGCTTGAGTTCCTCGAAGAATACCGCGAGGACCAGAGGATGTCAGGATTTGTTATCACCTACCTGCGCAAGTTCTTCGCCACGACGGAAGATTTCGACAAGTTGGAGAAGGTCCCCAAGTTCGGAAAGTTCCTCGAACTCCCTCTTGAGCTGCGCAAGCGCATCTACGAGATAGCCCTGTGCACAGGTAAAGAGATCCATCCCATCCTATGCGACCGCCAGCGCAACGGTAGCATCAAGTTTCACGACGAAAACGGACACTCCCGCAAGAACCCAAACCACAACGCAGTCTCCAAGCTCCTCGGCGTGACCCGGACCTCGAAGCAGCTCCGCGAAGAATCCCTGCCATGCTTCTACTCCGCCAACACCATCACTGATACCAAAGATGTGACCACCTACTTCGCATACCTCTCGCACCTCAACCGCTTCCACATGATCCGGCATGTGCGTCTCACCATCCCACTCCTCACCGAGCGATGGGCAGCCCAGCTCCTCGTGCAAATGAACACATATGTCAAAGACGTCGAGAAATACGACACCAAGCATGCAACAAGCGGTACCAAGTTCACTCGCACATATCTCGTCAACCACCCGCGCTACATTGCCGGCGGCCTGGATTCCATGAATCTCTTCATCGTCCTGCGCATGCTAACCTCCACCTACCCCTCCAACACCGACGGCTACACATCTTCCCTCACCCTGCCCGTCCCGTCCATCGCGTCCTTCACCACCTACCAGTGCCTCCGCTACTTCCCACTCGTATGCCACGGCCTCGGCATGCACGTGCGCTATCTCGAGGGCCACGAAGTGGTGCAGAACAAAGTGCGCAACATCACTATCGACTGGCAGCAGAAGTTCCAGAAGAAAGGGTTTGGCGCGGGCGAGGAGGGTAAGGTCGATGTGGATGTGCGCAAGCGCACGCTGGAGATGTTTCCAGATGTGGATGGGAGGGAGTTCCGGGTGAATAATACGCAGTATTATCGCACGAACTGTGATGGAGAGACGCTGGAGTGGTGGAAGGTGCAGCATCATGGGGAGGGGAGTGGGGTTGTGGAGTGAGGAGGTGCAGGTGGCCAAGGCTTGGTGGATTGACGGGGTCGAAAGGATTCCTGGCTAGATGGAATGGGAGCTCAGTATCGCTCTGACATGATGGCGACTAGTAGCACATAATAGCCCTGTAGCGTCGATGTATATGTACATCTGGCACCGCTCTTGAACAATTATAAAACATAGGATATGAACTGCTTGAAATCAATGCACATGAGTCCGCCTGTCAATACTAAACCTTGTCACACCAGGTGCCGGCAAAATCCTTGCGCGCCTTGAGGTGACAAGGTAGCCTGGATATGTTTAAAGATTCCTAATTGAGTAGCTAAGGCAAGATAGATTACAGTACTAGATATATTGAGGCTTCTTTATAAACTTCTTAGTGCGCGTCTAACGACCATTAGAGTACTTCGCGCATGTGTAGAGCGGACACGAAATTTGCTGTTGCTTAATGAAGATGGTGATTCAAAAGACTTGAGTCTAGGCTAAAGCATGCGCATAGTGTCTCAGCCGCATAGACTGGCCACGGAGCGCATTCGCGAAAAGCGAGTCGGCTACATCAGAAATGCCTAGGTAAGCCATTTTGCGGGGGTGGAGCACGTCGATCCTGGCGCCTGGGGAATGTTAGTAGTCCTCGTAGTGCAGTGACATCATTCGTCTACTACAAACTACCTCGGTGCGCCGATTTACCCCATCCTATAGCAGCATGCATTGCAATCGGGGTCGAACTCGTGCTTCTCAGGGCCGCTGGATCGTCCTGGTTCACTCTGGTTGATCCTTCATACTTCAGCTTCTCGTTACAAGACAAACTTGATCACTGTGGGTTTTACAAAGTATGGCATGTAAGTTCGAATCGAACAAGACGACTCGAGAAAACAATCCTGACACGACCAGTACCCATTCTCGCGGGAGTAGCTGGCGCATCCACCTTAGCTGCCTATCTCAACGCCAAATTCCACCTCGCGCACGATTACAAAAACGCACGAGGCGGCCTGACGCCACCGCAAGATGTCGTCGAGTTTATTGGGGACCGTGTGGCTCGCAAGCGCCTTCTCAACTACCATGTCTTTGAAGACCATGCGCTGCGCAATTTTCCGGACCAGACGTTTCTGATGTTCGAGGGGAAAAGTTGGACGTACAAGGAGTTCTTTGTGTGCATTACGCGGGTGGGCAATTGGCTGATGAATGACTTGGGCATTAAAGTTGATGAGGTGGTCGCCATTAATGGAGGGAATAGCCCGGAGTATTTGATGCTCTGGTTTGGTCTGGATGCGATTGGTGCGGTGCCGAGTTTTGTCAATTGGCAACTCACAGGAGCTGGGCTGGTTCATTGTGCCAAGGTGAGCAACACAGTTCCGGACTACCTTTCAAATGAGCTGAGGAAGCTAACGGCGTCCAGTTGTGTGACTCGAGATATCTCATTACCGACACTGATGTGAAGGACAACGTTGAGCCTTGCCGGAAAGAGCTCGAGGATTTGAGCATCAAGATCGAATACTACGACCCCTCCTCTATCGCATCGCTTTGCAATACCACTTCTATACCGAGTTCGCGCCATGAGTCTATCAACATTGGATCTATCCGAAGCATGATGTACACCTCGGGTACAACGGGATTGCCAAAAGCTGTCGTCATGGGCACGAGTCGTGAGCTTCTCCTCGGGTATCAGATTGCCGGATATCTCAACCTAAAGCCTGGAGATCGAATGTACACATGCATGCCGCTGTACCATGGTGCAGCACACGGTCTATGCACAGTGCCATGTGTCTTTGCAGGAGCTACCATCGTGTTGAGTAGGAAGTTCTCACACAAGACTTTCTGGCCGGAGGTAGCTGCATCGGAAGCAAACATCATCCAATACGTCGGAGAGCTGTGTCGGTATCTTCTGAACGGGCCGAAGAATCCTTACGAGCGGAAACACAAAGTCCAAATGGCATGGGGCAACGGCATGCGACCAGATGTCTGGGAGCCGTTCCGCGAGCGGTTCAACATTCCCGTGATCAATGAACTATACGCCGCCACTGATGGAATGGGCACAACCTTCAACGCAAATGCTGGGCCATTTACTGCCCATGCGGTTGGTCTTCGAGGACTGCTGTGGAACTGGAGGTTCAATGATCTGGAGGTCAGAGTCAAGATGGATGTCGATACAGAGGACATCATGCGGGATGAGAAGGGTTTTGCTATCCGGTGTGGCGTGAATGAACCAGGTCAAGTCCTACACCGCATCACGCCAGAGAGGTTACCGAACACGCCGAGCTACTTCAAGAACGAAGAAGCGACTGAGAAGAGACGCATATACAATGTGTTTGAGAAGGGCGACATGTATGTGTTTGACATGAAGTACAATGAGTGCAAGCTAATGTGAAACTCAGGTGGTTTAAATCTGGCGATATGATGCGACAAGACAAGGACGGTCGTGTTCTTCTTCGTGGACCAGGCTCGGCGATACATTCCGCTGGAAGTCTGAAAATGTATCAACAAACGAAGTTGCCGATATGATGGAGTAAGTACCCTCAAATCGCAGAGACAAACGTATACGGTGTCTCCGTCCCTGGCTATGACGGCCGCGCAGGCGCCGCATCAATAGTCATGGCAGACGGCGTCACCGAATCGAGCTTCAACTTCCAGGGCCTGGCTGCGCATGCGAGAGCCGTACTGCCAGGATATGCTGTGCCGCTGTTTTTGAGAGTGACGCCGGCGCTGGAATACACCGGCACACTGAAGATTCAGAAGGGCAGATTGAAGCGCGAGGGCATAGATCCAGATCTGATAACTGGCGAAGATAAGATGTACTGGTTGCCTCCGACAAGTGACCAGTATCTACCTTTTACCCGGAAGGATTGGGAAGGGATCAAGAGCAAGAGTGTGAGGTTGACTTGAACAGTGGACGCAGAGCTGTAGAGAAATAGCATACAATGAATCTCTATTTTTGCATTTTGCACTGAAGCATGCCATGATAATAGCAAAGAAGAGCGACGTTATCGGTTAATTTAAATGGCCTCGGAATCCGAGACCTGTGAGACTGAGCGCATAACTTCCCGATTAGGCAATCTGACAATAACTGTCGATTGCAGCGTCGGTGACCGAGGTACGGTTTATTAGACTTTCGCCGAAAATCAGATGAACCTGATTAGATAAGGATTGTTTGTGAAAGGGCTTCGGCGTGTCGCAATACTTCCAAGGTTTGATGCCATGGTTTCACTAGGTAACAGCACACCCATTGACCACTGCGACTGTGATCGCCAGAAGGTGAAGGCAAAGCGCACACCTGAAAGTGTTGCGAGAAAGTGTTCAGCGCGGTAGCATTCACTGAAGTTCGTGACGTCTGTTATCACTGAATGCATCTCAGCGCATGTGATTGCTGACCGCCAGCTCAACATACTACCAAGCGGCGATCAAATTCCTGCCCGCCTTTACCTAATAGGAAGGAATGAAAAGGTAGCCTGTATGCCTTCAAACATCTCTATAGAGGGGTTTAGAATATCTTGCAACTGCGTATATATTCAGGCTCTCTTATCAGCTCATGGTCTTGCAGGTGCAGAGCGGTTACGAGTTCCGACTCAGTTTGGGTCGGGAGTACTTTCAGCCGCGCTAGTGGCGATCAATTACTCAGCCCTACGACTTGCGCGGGTCGCAACACTAAACCTCCACACTCACCTTCCACGACCGCCAACCTTCCCACGAACCCAGAAAATCCCATAAACCGCAACGATGCCCAAGGCCGAAGTAGGCAGCACAAAATGGGTAGGAAACCAGATGAAGAGTCGGGGTTTGCAGCGCTTGCGCTGGTGGTGCGAGCCGTGCCAGAAGCAGTGTCGCGACGCCAACGGCTTCAAATGTCACGTCCAGTCGGAGGCACATGTACGGCAGATGGCTGTCGTCGGTGAAGACCCGCGGAAATACATTGCGAACTTCAGCACCGATTTCCAGCGCGACTTTGTCTGTTTGCTGCGGACAGCTCATGGAGAGAAATGGATCAGCGTACGTCTTACGTTAACTAACACTTAACTCTACTGAAACTAATCTTAACGTTAGGCCAATAAGTTCTACAATGAGTACATTCGCGACAAGGAGCATGTCCACATGAACGCCACAAAGTGGAGTAGCTTGACGGAGTTCACGAAGCATCTCGGAAGGGAAGGCATATGCCATGTCAAGGAGGACGAGAAGGACGGCTTGATGATTGCGTGGAGGGACACAAGCGCTGCAGCAGTCAAGCGGAAAGAGGAGATCGCCGAGCTCGAGGCGGCAGAAGCAAGGAGTGGCGCTGGTGAGGACAAGATGCTGAAGAAGATGGCGAAGCGTGCACAAGAAGAAGCCGAGGTGAAGAAGGCTATCGAGGCGAAGCGCGCTGCAGCTACGGCAGCTATGGCGCAAAAGGAGAATACCACACCACCCACCGAGGGTGGCTCATCAACCGAGGACAAGAAAGTTGACTCGCCAGTCGATGATATGGTAGGAGTAAAGAAGGATAGCGAAGAGCCAAAGGCAGAACCTGCGCCTGTTAAGTTGAGCTTTGGGATGAAAGCCAAGGTTCCGCCACCGAATAAGGCAGGACTCGGGCAAATGAAGAGCCAGAGCATCTTCAAGCGGAAGAAGGATGACCTGGAGCAGAAGCCAGGCAAGAAGGTTAAGCTCTGAAGAGCGGACACGAAGATACCCAGATTTTAGTTGCATAGCGAGGCGTTCACTGCATTATTGGGAATTTACGGCAGGGCCGGTACATCGGTACCCAATCGTTGACGTAGGTCGGTTCAGACCAGAGGTATGAGATGGATACAAAAATGTATAATGTACATAACGTCCATCTTCAATCAGTGATCTGCTCTAACACATGTTCTCTTGAACCTGATCGCCTTGGACACGTATTTGTGCTAACGAGACCAAACGAATCAATCGTGATGACATGAACTGACAGGAAAGTATTGAGTTTGAGGACCATTTTATCATCTCATAAACGTCAAGGCTGTTTACAGACGTAGAACATCCGAAGTTAACAAGGTTCTGGCCGCGGCCGGCGCTAGTGTGTCTTGGCAGCTACCAGCATTTCTAGAGAACGACCTCATTGAGCAACACTCCCCAACCCAACATGGCCGACAAAACAGAAGCGCAAGATGACTCGAAGAAGATGCCGGAGCCAGAGATAGCGCCTGTTGTAGGCGAATCCGTGCCCGAAACCGAAGATGTCAAACCTGCCCCAGCAGACCCGAAAGCTGCTCTCGCCGCGCGCATGGCACGATTCAAAGCACTCCAATCACAAAAAGAGTCTGGTCGCAAGGCCACCGAGAAGGAAGTTCGCGACGCCGAAGACCGCTCTGCGCGGCTCGCCCAGATCTCGAAGCTGCAGGACGCGCACGACAAAGCCTCGTACAAGCTTCTCAAATCCGAAGACCCCGACTTCGAGCGCAAGCGAAATTGGGACTACACAGTCGAGGAAAGCGAGAGTTGGGACAAGCGCATGGCGAAAAAGGCACGCAGTAGAGATAATGTAGCATTCGCAGACTACACCAAGGAAGCGAACAAGGTCTACAAGCGCCAAATCAAGCAGATGGACAAGGTCGATCTCGACAGCTACGCCGCGCAGAAAGCAGAGAAACTGCAACGACAAGTACAGTCTGGCCTGCTTCAGCTCATCGAATCTCCCGAAGGCGACTTGTACACGGTCAACCCTCTCAACAACCAGATCAACACGCCGGCCGAAGAGGGCTACTCACACGACCACAAGCCGAGTCAAGAGGCCATCGATAAACTGGTCGGGGATCTGGACAAGGGTGAGAGAGCGAGGTTGAAGGCGAGGGCAGCGAGGGGCATTAGAGATGAGAATGACGCGGGCGACGTGACGTACATCAACCAGAAGAACAAGCAGTTCAACGACAAGTTGACGAGGTTCTACAATAAGTACACGACGGAGATTCGGGAGAGTTTTGAGAGGGGCACGGCGATATAAGTTCACCAAGTGTAGGAGAAATGGTTGTTAGGAGTGGTTATACCCTGGTTTAGCATGGCACTTGGTAAGGCTGGCGTTGTGGAGTTGACTTGTCGAGCGCATCACACTGTGGAACATGAAAAGCGTGGAAAATGCAAGCCTACAATAGGAACGTTGCGATTGCATATGCAATACGGAACTTGAATTGAACTTTGGTATCTCTGGTATCAAATCTCGCCTCACGCCTCTCACATCATACTACTCAACACCCTATTCACATCCTGCCCAGGCTCAGGTTTCTTTGCGCCCTTGGACGTAACACCATGCTGCACAAACTCTCTCCTCGGCTTCTTGACCTTCTTCTCCACGACCTGCTCAGCCGCCTTCATCCCCTCCCCATCATCCCCTCTATCCTCCTTCTCCTTCTTCTTCGCCTCAATCCCCTGGATCATCTTGCCCATCTCCAGATTCTCCAGGAATGCCTTATTCTCCGACTTCCCTCTCGAAATCTCCACGCGCATGCGCGCCGCACGCTCCGCGTTCTCATTTTGAATTGTCTCCACGAGATGGTTCCACTTGATGCCGCTCAAGTACTTGATATTCCAGACCTCATCGTGCCACCTGCCGCGCTTCTTACCGCCCATTGTTTGTGCATTAAGATTGTCCGCAACGAATTTCGCGTCGCGCTTGTGCAGGAACTCGACCCAGCCGTCGAGGAATAGTTTGCGCCGCGTGCCGCCGCCGCGCAGACGTTGTGTCCGTGACGCTGCGGGCTCAGGTGTGAGGAAGATTTTGCCGACGGCGCCGTACGGTGTGAGGAGGGAGCGGAGGACGGTGGGTTTCATGAATGGCGGGACGCGCGAGAGGTATATGACGCCGGACTTGTCTTTCTTGGGTGCTACTGGTTTACCGAGTTTTGTGGTCTGGAGCTTGAGATTTGAGGGGAGGCCGGCGGCGAGTTTTTCGAGGTGTGCGAGTTCAGCAGTTTTGGGTATGTCGTCGGTCGCGTCTTCGTCGTCTTCGTCGTCTTCGTCGTCTTCCTTGTCGTCTTGATCAACGTCTTCCTCCTGGTCTTCTGCGTCTTCTTCGTCTTCAGAGTCATGATCGCGCTTTTGTCGCTTGGCAGACGGGAGCATGCGCGCCCTGCTCTCTTCTTCTGAGTCGTAGCCTCTTTCATCATCGTCGCTCTCTGCGGCATCGAGCCATTCATTCCGCTTGCGCGTCGCCATGTCGAGACCGATTATGGTTTTTCTCGGATATTTTTGTTTGGAAGGGGCCTTGAAACACACAGTAGTCTAACACTATTTTCGTAGAATTTGGTGTGCTGACCTGACGAATCGATATGGCTTGAAAGTGGTTGCTCGAAACTTTTGCGGGGATTTCGGAGGTCCACTTTTCGCACGTGACTTGGCAGAAGGCTGGTGGAAGTGGCGCCTCACACTTTCCTCAACCTCCGACGAACCACCACTCCTTCACATCGCGACCCTACACTCCCGTCCGATCTGCAGCTCACATACGCATTTAATTTGACCCGCTATCATACGACCAGCATTTACTTCCACACACGCGCAAGGGCGCTAATACGCAATCATGGGTGGTGATCTCAACTTGAAGAAGTCGTGGCACCCACATCTGCGCAAGAATCAGGAGCGAGTATGGAAGGAGGAGAAGTCTGCGCTCGAGGAGCGCAAGCAGATTGAGAAGCTGCGCAAAGAGCGGGAAGAGGAACGGCAGATTGAAGAACTACAGAAGCTGCAGGAGGCATCAGGCGGCAAGGTCGTCACGAAGCGCGTAGATTGGATGTACGGAGGTCCAAGTGGAGAAGGCGGTGCCGTGACCGAAGAGCGCGAAGGTTATCTTCTCGGCAAGCGTAGGATCGATAATCTACTGAAGAGCGACACGACAAGCTTGCAGAAAGGCGCTGCTGTTGGCATTGATGCTGTCGGGACCGACAATCTGAATGCGCCCCGCGACACCCACAAGAAGGTCCTACAGGATCCACTTCTGATGATCCAGAAGCAAAAGATGGAGATGCAGTTGAAGGCTATGAAGGACGCCCAAAAGCAAGCCAAGTACGAGGAGAAGCGCACGAAAGAGAAGGAGCGAGATCGGAAACACAAGGACAAGGAGAGGCACAGGGACAGGAGCAGAGACCGAGAGCACAAGCACCGCAGTCGACGAGACCGATCGCGCTCGAGATCTGACGATTACGACGATCGCGATAGGAGAGAGCGCAAGCACAGGAAGCACGATCGCGACGAGAAAGATAACAGAGGCAGCCATCGCAGGCGTTCAAGGTCTCGGTCAAGGTCACGCTCCCCATACCGCAAAAGTCACCGCGACAGCGAGCGACGACGTTCTCGGTCTCCACGAAGAAGAGACGAACACGAAGAGCGCGACAGTTACAGAAGACGCGATCGCACACCACCGCGGCGCTCACACGATAAACCTCGTCGTATTTCGGAAGAAGAGCGACCATACAGGCCACGCGCTTCTCCGCCTGCCATCAAACAGGAGCCGAGAGAAAGCGTTGCTATCAAACAGGAACCGAAAGAAAGCGTCGCTGAACGTCTTGCAAAGATGCAGGCGGCTGCATCGACGCTCGAAGAGCAGCGTGCTGAGCGCGTGCGTCTTCAGGGGATCAAAGATGCAGAAGAAGAGGCTCGACTCAAGGAGAACAAGGATGGTGGACGTCGCTTCATCAACAGCATTCGTGGCCAAGCTTCCGAGATGGACTTGGGCGATGCGATCGCTCGTGGCCGCCAGAATTATCACAAGGAGCTCGATGTCTAATGCCCATTTCCACCCAGATGCCTACTGGAACACGACAGATCCTACATTAGCGTTTTTGTTTCTAGAGAAAGAATACCCAATACCCGTTTCATTTTCACAGTATTGATACCGCCATAGTGCAGATCCTTCCTCGACTTCATTCTGGACAATACATGATAAGCTGCTTTTTGAACAAAGCATAGTGAGCCATACTGATTTGAACACTCATTTTGCATGCTAACTTGCTAATGTTCACGTAGAACCGTCTTCTAAGTAGGCTATATGGACATACAATCCCCTACCAATGTCCAACTCTGCGACTATCTAGCGCCAAGCAGTTTCAACCATCCCGGAGAGTCCCACCGGCAACGGCAACGCAGACGCAACGATCGGTTCTGGCACTGGTACCGCTTGAACAACATCCCCCACCATGGTTCTGTCAACCGACTTGACAAAGTCGTAAAAGAAACCTTCAGGCTTGAGTCCGGGGACGGGTCGCCCCATCAGAGTGGCGAGATACTTGCCCGCAAGCACATTGTGCAGAATGAGAGCCTGGGCGACATGTCGGAGATCATCGAAAATTGCTGATGCCTTATCCTGGATATTTTCGAAGGCGCTTTCTACCTTGGCCGCCTGCTGCAGAACCGGTAGGATGGTGCCGAGAGCTGCGCCCAAAGCTGGATTGAGGACTGAAATCGGCAAAACCGCGAGAGAGAGAGCACTGGGTTCGCAAAGTCAATGGCCTTCTTGCCGATATCGAGGACGTCGTTAAAGAACCCTTCCGGCCTGCGAGGTCCGGTTACGTTCCGATGATGCGATTGGCTCCGTTGTTCAGATTTTCTGCGACTCCGTTGATTCCGTTTCCTACGTCATCGGCAACGCCGCTGGCGATGTCCAAGATGCCGTTGCTGATTCTGTTGCCGACGTTGTCGACAGCGTTGCCCACATCTTTACCCACGTTGACAGCTGTGTCAACGACGGAGCTTCCGATGTCGACAACGGTATCTGCGGCGTCTTTGATGCTGTTGAAAGCATCGTCGAACCAACCATCTGGCTGAGCGCCACCAGACTGAGCGGACTTGTGTGCTTTGGCAGCCCTTGCAAGCTCCTCAAGGAAGGCCTTTTCGTTCGCTGAGGCTGAATCCTGCTTGCCATCGACATCCATGGCGCTCTCAGCCCTTGCCCGCATTTGCACTGACTGCGCGCGAATGAGAATGCCGCGAGCAATTTCATTGGCAACATCATTAACAAGCTTGTCTGCAGCGTCACCAACTACGTTGATGCCTTTCATGATCTCCTGAAACGGGAGCCCGATGACGGGACTTCCGATGGGCATGATCTTGAGAGCACCTGTCACAGCACCTGCTAAATCATCGAAGAACCCCTCTTCCTTGAAATTTGACTCGGCCATAAGAAGCGTCTTGTTAACTAGCATGAAGCGCTGCAGAGCGGCATTTACGTCGAGGCTGTTGGCGCCAGCGAGCCCTTGGGCGATAATGGGCGCGATGGCTGTACCAACAACGCCAGCAATAGGTCTGCCCAATGCTCCTGCGAGATCGGTAGCCAATTTGAAAACCTCCTCAGCGCCTTCGAAGATCCAGAACTCGGGCTTGTTGGTACCATTACCAGAGGGTTGCGCAACGACATTGACGCCCAACTTGGCGATCTCCTTCGTTTGCGGGCCCGTCGCGGCGTTGTCTTGATGTACCTAAGCACTTCCAACTGTAACCATGTTGATCTGGCCTGGACTAGCGAGAGGCACTTCCAAGGAACCAATGTAGTCCTGGATGGGGTTGCCATAACGGCCAATAACGGAGGCTGTATCGAAGTCGCCTCCACCATAAACATGTGTGCCTAGGGCGACCAGATCATTTCTTCGAAGCACAGGGCCTCCGGAGTTCCCTCGCATCTTGCTACCGCGCTCGCCCGTCTCCTGGTCCTTGAGATCAGCGGGGTAGCCCACGACACCAAGTTGCGCATCAGCTGCTGCAGGCGTCTCGATGTACTGGAAGGGCGTCACATCGGTAAAGGGTCGATCGAACTGGACTAGGGCGAAGTCACGCGGCCTGCTCCTTGCACTGTCGAGCCATTGGGAAGTTGTAACCACGCGTGTGGCCCGGCGAAACTCGACGGAAGCGTCTGAGATACTCTTCGCGCCGTTGTAGCCAGCATACGCCTTGATCTCACGGGCACGGCGTGGCAGTCGGCCGTTTGTACGACGCCAGCTGTACACGTTGTGTCCTGCTGTGAACATGAGGTCTGGACGGATGAGCCAGCCAGTACCATGGGTGTAGCTGTTGTTGGGCAAGTTCTCATAGTTAATGAAAAGTTTCAGGATAGCTGTAGAGGTATCAGTGAGTTAAATCAAGGCTAATGAAGCAACATTGATACATACAGCTATACTTTCCTCCCACGGCAAACTCTTCGGGGTCCACAGGTGTGCGACCGTCTCCCTCCATGACGGACTCTTGTCCTGGGTTCTTGTGGGGGATGAATGTTGTAGAGGTTGGAAATTCATCCTTGGTCTCGTCAAGATCCCATACACCCGCAACCGTGGGAAGTGCATTGATGGTTGCAGTGAAGGCAAGCGCTTGTGCCTCGACTGTATCGGCTTGGATGACTGCAGCTTCAAGAGTAACTTCCGTTTGGGCAGGGGGAGGATTCAAGACAGACATGTTAATATATGTAGATTGATTGAAGAGAGCGGTGGATTGTCTGATGTCTATCATGAGAAGCAGCAGGCATACTTACATGCTTTTGAGCAAGGGATTTTAGGGCTGGAAACGAGGTCGCTAAAGTTGTTCATGCTGGTCGCGAGCATTGCATTGCTGAGACGAGACAGCCTCCTAGGCCAGCTTCGATGAAGAGACGCCATATAGGCCGGCGAGACCGTACGCAGTCATACTGAGCCTGCAAGTTCAGTGTGCATGACTCCGCAGCTGAGCATAAGGTTGTGTAGAGTCAGAGGCCAATACCAGGCGGCGGCCCGTCGCGTAGTTTGGACAGCTCGAGCATGGTTCGTGTGGAGAAACGGGGGCTAGAGGGTTGCCAGAAGCGATTGAAGAGGCTATCGTGGCTCAATTGGGCAATGATTTATAATTCTAGTCAACCACGCGACTGCACGTGCTGGCCGCATCAGGAAAAGCCCTGCATGCGCGAGCTGCGCTTCAGCCATCCACACTTCGTTCTCCAACGTGACAGCTGAATAGATTTGTGCACCACGACAGTGCTTGAAGCTGAATTTGGCGATGAGATCTCAGCCATTATAGCATGTTTGTTCGCCTATGGCATCTAATGTTAGTCTGGGCTCTTCTGAGACACAGATCTGTTTAACGCTAGTCCAATGCTTCTAAGCTTCCTGAAGTCGTCCTTATTTCTGCAAGTATACGCATATATTATAAACTTTAAAAGACTAGGCAAGAATTTAGGCTACACGCGCTAACTCTGTTACTTTGCGCATTTATGCAGTTTCTAAGGTGTTAGGGAAAAAAAACTCTTTCTAGACCACTATCTCTATGACTGCAAGATTACAAAATTCGTGTTGCATGAATACGCATTATGCACGTACTAAGAGAGCTTCACCGTTCTTGATTTCAGAGAGAATACCCGAAAGTCAAATTCTGCTTATCTGTGGCATCTGCTCCAGACTCATGTACTGTAACGGTCGATGTCCTCCGAAGCTCGTCCCTTCTCTTATTTGACCCCATCCGTTGTACTAGCATCAACCCATAAGCAAGATAATAACAACCCAATCCACTACAGATACGATCAGGCCAGCAGTATACTGAGGCGCTGTCTGCGTTGTCCACAATTGCGGGAAGCCGATGCAGCCGGAACAATACCCAATGAAGCAGGCAGTAGTGACAACCGATCGTTTTGTGTTTCCTCGTATATTGGACGCGTCTAGACTCATTGTGAGTGAAAATATGCTTAAAATGCAGCTTCCTAGCTAGGCTTTACCTAAATTCATATTGGACAAGAGGTACCTGGCTTGACAAGTCATGCGATCGTTATCAGCCTATGAGCCAAACGGCGAGAAATCGCGTCGAGCTTGGGCTGGGTTCACCTCATGTTCACAATCTCGCAAGCGAGTTTGGTGCCGCGGGACTAGCATGTCGCTGTCACATCGAGCCAAAATAGCAATACATATTACTATAATAGAAATTCCTAAAGCAAACTTTTATGAAGACCAGGAGGCGTCACAAAGCGGCATTGGCAAGGTACATGTATTGTGGAGCCAGCCTCAATTCCTCGGCCTCGTATGGACATCGGCCTGTATGGCCAGCTCGCGAATTTATAAATATTATGCGTTACTGCCATACCTGCATCAGCACAATGACCTCAAGGTCTGTCGCGTTGGCTAATTACCTTTGCACGCCGCCCATCATCTCGTCCCCTATGCCTGCATCCCACCACCCTTCGTGCCAATTCCTCGCGGTAAAATCACTTTCCAACGCCCGCACGAACCCTATCGGCTGCGTCCCGTCCTCAAAACTGAACGATGGAAATTCGGGAAACGGTGGGAAAGCTGACATGTCGAACTCTGGCATACTATCTGCGGTTTCTCCGACCGCAAAGTTGCCATCCTTTGCCCTACGTCGCTCGTTTTGAAATGACCGAGTGACTTGGTTGAGAGCATTGATGGTCGCAGCGAAGGGTGAGAAGTCGGTACGTTTGGCGGATGCCTCGTTCATGGTTTCGCCGATAGCTTCAAGTAGTTGGACGTCTTGTTCGCAGTCCGAGGGGTCGGCACAGGCGAGGATGTTCTCGTAAAGAGCGAAAACGGCACAAAAGGGGTAGAAGCTTATGAAGCTGCGATGAAATATCAGAATCCTTCAAAGCCTTGCACGTTTTCACTTACTGTATGCACACTGATTGAGCTTCTCCTGGGGGTGCAGAATCGACAGAGAAGTCGAGAGTGATTCGCACAACTTTTCGGGCTGCTTCAAGAGTAACTGCATCAACTGGGCTTCCTGGTCGCCGTACTAGCCGTCGAACACCAATAATAACGGCATAAATCGTCATGACATGATCTGCAAAGAGGAAGCGCTGGTCCTGCGACTCATCCTCCTTCATGGTTGTTTCCAAGTTCCACTCATCGTTCAAGCCACGCATCTGGTCGCAGTATGTATCTACCTTTCGTCGGATTTCCTCATCTTCTTCGAGATTTTTGCAATCATCAATCTCATTGAGGATCTCTGCTGTCAATAAGGTGTACCTGATCCACACCACCGATACTGTGACTGTAGATAGTAGACAAAATTAGCTTACGCCCAAATTTCTGTGTGTAATTGGTGCTGCATACCCTGATAGACGGAAGGATGTAAATTATGGGTACGAAGCACGTGAGGTGGTCGGACTCTGCGCGGAACCCATCGAACCTGCGATTATTGTCAGTATATTTGATCACACATGAGTTAGAAGTTCGAATGATGACAATATGGTCCACTTGAGGTGATTGTATGAGATGCCAACATCTAATCTGACATAAACCATGAGCGTACTTACCACAGTAGGCTTCCCGTAGAATAGTCGAAATAGCATGTCTGTCGACAAGACATGCCAGTACAAATACCGGGCGCCCTCTTTCTTGTCCTCCTCTTCAAAAGTTTTCGCAGGTACAAGGTCCACTTGATCGATCTTTCTGGTCTTGACATAATGACATGATTTACAATGAAACTTCCATGAAAGCTGGTAGTCGTGGTTGCTGGTTGCCGTCCAGGCTGTCAATGCAGCCGTATGGCCATCCATTTCGGTAACTATATTGCTCTCGAGCCATGCAGGGACAGCTTCCAGTATCTTGAGATACATTCCCTGGGCTTGTGCATCTCCGAGTCCCCGGATCTGGTTAAGGCCAAAGTACAAAGCATTGTAGTACATGACATACATGCCTGGCTCGATGTTAATATATGGTGAATTGATAATGTCAGGCAAGACCCGGAGCAATTCGAGATCAATGGAGGAAGTGAAAATGTCAGGTACGATCATTTGGTCCAAAAGGTCAATGAATACCTCGACACATGCTTTGGCTTCTTCGACAGAGAGGTTCAAATCAACCTTACAGGCGTCTGTACGTATCCGGAGCTTGCCGAGTTCGTTGAGAGCGTCGTTGAGCGATAGCATTGCATCGTCTATCTGTAGTGTTGGTGTGCTCACAGGGGTAGCATGGCTCTGGAAAGTTCGCCTAACGTCGGATGCCGCACGATATATCCATGCTGTATTTTGTCAGTGTCCATACATCATACATAGAATGATATATCTGATCAACCAGCAGTTGTAGTTGCTTAGTTGAAGTTTAAAGCATGCACTTACATTCTTGACCATCGCCGGTCATTATGGAGACCTTTGGTGACGGTACTGACTCTATACTAGTAGTCCTTTCCGAAGGAGTTTCGGTCTCAGATCTAGGTACAGTCATAGGCCTGCCGGGCCATTTGATTAGCGGTAGACATCAGGATGAAGGATGCCGCACACTCACGGAGAGGTTTCAGAACCAGCATGGCTGATCTGTTTTTCCAGCTGTTCGAGTCGCTGGCTCAAGTGATGTACAGCTACTCGCTGTTGTGCTACTCGCGGTCGTTGGCGTCTTTCAACATATAGACATTCTGTCTTTGCAGTTATGCACTGATGACAGACCGGCTCTCCTCTATCGCATTTGACCTGACTTGTCAGCGATCTATACATGGACAGTCGAACATGCAGAGCGAATTCTGATCTATCATACACCAGGAGTTCATGAAGAGATTGCCATGGAACGAAGACCAATCAGCCATGTGTCGGGTGCCGGTACCTTCTTCCGCTTGCAGCGCTGACACTGGTAAAGAGATTAGTGGTGCGTTGCCAAGTGCAGATTGGGCAATTTACCGCAAGCTTAGCCATCTTAATAGCTTATGAGATTGCAATTCGATCCTTTCCTCAAACAAACAAGCACGGTTACTGGATGTCGGAATGCCGAGTAGAGCGAAGACCGGAAAACACGTGGCCGAAGCTGCGCAAGTTCTGACCGCACAGCAATGGTGGAGAAGTACAAGAAGCCTTTGGGTGGACAACAGGAGCCTGGGCAAGCCGACAAAAAACGCGAAACAGTGTGAAATTAGTGGGTGGAAGAGCAGTTTCGAGGAGGTCGCGGATGTCAGAATGTCCGAATGTCCGGGCGCGGCCTCGAAAGTTTGGTAAGCCACTTGCACAGCCACTAGGATTGCGACATTGCACTCTCAAAGGTACACATCTTCGGCACAATTTTTTGCGAATCGATATTGCAAATTGTGTGCTTCTCTTCAGAGATCATTCGATCTCTCAGGGTTCGATCGCCACTTCGTGCTTCAACATGGGTCTGGTCCCGAGGGCACTCTTACTCCAACTCGCCATGGCGTGCAAAGACAGCCAACGAGATTGGCATCTGACAACTTCGCGCGAAGGAAGCTGAAGGACAAATCTTATCATCATAGAAATGGTGCAGATGCCCATGCGTACGAGGTCGATTCAATACCAAGACCCTTTTATGGGGCTCTTCGTGCTTGGCCCCGGACATTCGTATGCCCGCGGTCGCGTACCGTCCCGAGCGCAGCTCTTACAGGACGTCAAATAGCCAAGGGGCCGAACCATGACAATGGCATCGCACCACATCTAAGGCCCAGACAGATGGGAGACGACGTTATTAGTCATTTACAAACATCGAGAACAGCACGTGCGTCTCACATGCTTGAACACCTGGGTACGACCCTAATCTTTACTAGCCACTACGCTTATTAGTTACCTTCTTCTATCATTCGTCTATCCTCAAACATAGCTCAAACATAGCGTGCCCGTTACTGCTTAGCCGGTACCCCAGCTGCAAGGCCACCAGGATTGCGACCCCATAGGTTCAACCTGCAGCATGTCTGCCACAAAGGGAATAGAGGAGAAGAGTGTTCCTGACAACGGCTTGGCCGCTGGCCACAATAACGTTGAGTCGAGCTCCAGCTCGATTGGTGGTCAGGTCGATGACAACAAATCCGCAGAGCGGCATAACCACGCAGTTCAAGATCTGGTCCGCAACTTTACCTCACAATCAGAACAGCAAAATCTCGGTTCACCGTTCGATGCAACAGATGGTGGCGTTTTAGATCCAAAGAGCGATCAGTTCCGGGCAAAGAGTTGGGCTAGAGCATTCTACGACTTACGATTTAGTGGCGAAGAGGCACTTCCACGTGTAGCAGGCGTTGCTTTCAGGAACCTGAACGTATGGGGCAAGGGGTCTCCGACTGATTTTCAGTCGACCGTTGGGAACAAGATCCTCAAATTGCCGTCGTTATTCGGTCGAGGTACTCAGAAGATTGAGATTTTGCGTAATCTGGATGGTCTGCTACTTCCGGGAGAGCAACTTTGCGTTCTTGGTCCGCCAGGGTCAGTGTCCTTCTGTGTGTAGCTTTCTTCTTGCTGATGATTGATTAGATCCGGGTGCTCGACATTTTTGAAAACGATTGCTGGAGAGACGCATGGTTTCAGAGTTAGTCCCGAATCGTATGTGAACTACCAAGGTATCACTGCCAACGCGATGAACACTTCTTTTCGAGGGGAAGCCATCTATACTGCGGAAGTGGACGCACACTTCCCTCAGTTGAGTGTGGGAGACACGCTGTATTTTGCTGCATTAGCTCGAACTCCTCGCCAAATCCCTGGTGGTATCAGTCGAAGTCGCTATGCTGAGCACTTGCGCGACGTAAGCAGTCAATCTTCCTTTCTCGGACTCGGCGCTGACCTCATAGGTTATCATGGCGATGTTTGGCGTAAGCCACACAGTCAATACCAAAGTGGGCAACGACTTTGTCCGTGGTGTCAGTGGGGGCGAGCGTAAACGAGTGACGATTGCTGAAGCTACGCTTAGCTTTGCACCATTGCAATGCTGGGATAATTCGACAAGAGGGCTTGATTCGGCCAATGCAGTCGAATTCTGTAGGACTTTGCGTACTCAATGCGATGTGTTCAATGCAACTGCTTGTGTTGCGATCTACCAGAGCCCTCAGGCAGCGTACGATGTAAGTAACTCGCAACGTCAAAGGTTCTGGCCACGATTCTATGACTATTTCTAACACAGCACAGCTTTTCGACAAAGTCACCGTTTTGTATGAGGGCAGGCAGATATACTTTGGACTTGCGAAGGACGCACGCGGCTACTTCGAGCGTCTTGGATTCGAGTGCCCAACATCGCAGACCACGGCAAGTATGGATCGCTGATAAGCAGATTGCGGTTCACTGACTGCCGGCAGCCTGATTTCTTAACTTCTATGACATCGCCATCCGAGCGTCGTATCCGAAATGGCTTTGAGAATACAACGCCGCGCACTTCAGATGATTTTGCGCGCTTCTGGAAAGAAAGTCCGGAGAGACAGCAACTGCTCCACGACATTGATCAATACGACAACGCTCATCCGCTTGATGGTCTTGATCATAAGCACTTCGCTCATGCCCGGGATCTTGAGAAGTCACGTCATCAGCGAAAGAAGTCCCCATATAATCTGTCGTACTGGGGCCAGATCAAACTCTGCATGTGGCGCGAGGTGCAACGGATCAAGAACGATCCAAGTGTTCCATTGACCATGCTTACCGTCAACTTCTTCGAAGCTCTGATCATTGCCAGTATTTTCTACAATTTGTCGGCATCCACGGAGTCGTTCTTCTTACGTGGAGGTGTTCTTTTCATGATGGTCAGTATTCTTGATCTATACTTCTATCGGAGCGTCTTCAGTGTTTACCTAGTTCAGGCTGACCAGTAATACAGGTTCTCCTTAACGCATTCGGTAGTCTCTTAGAAATTATGTCTCTGTATGCAAAGCGGACTATCGTTGAAAAGGTAGGACATCATGTTCACCATAACAAGACATCACCTGCTGACCCAATACTAGCATAACCGCTACGCTCTGTACCATCCAAGCGCTGAAGCCGTGTCGTCGATGATTGTGGATCTGCCTTACAAAATCACCAACTCCTTCGTCGTCAGCTCCACGCTGTATTGTGAGTAACCACGCAACAAATCGTTACGCATGACTGACAGTATTTTGTTCGTAGTTATGGCGAACCTTCGTCGCGAACCGGGGCCGTTCTTCTTCTTTATGCTTGTCGCGTTCACAATGACACTGGCCATGAGCATGTTTTTCAGGCTATTCGCTTCAATGACAAAGACTATCGAGCAAGCGCTGGCCCCAAGCTCAATTGTTCTACTTCTACTTGCCATGTACACTGGATTCGCTATACCTGTTCAATATATGCGAGGGTAAGTGCCTTGACGATCAGCCAAGTTTGTACAAATAGCGCTAACAATTACAGATGGGCAAGTTGGCTCAGGTGGCTGAATCCAGTCTCCTATGGATTCGAAAGTGTCATGGTGAACGAATTCAACGGCCGCCGATTCGAATGCTCTACTTTTGTTCCGAGTGGCCCATCCTACGAGAACATTGCCCCAGAACAGAGAGTATGTGCCGTCCAAGGGTCTCAGCCTGGCGCAAATTACGTTAGCGGCACAGACTACGTCGAGACCGCCTTCCAATATTCTTACGGAAACCGATGGAGAAATTACGGCATTATCGTCGTCATGACTGTTGCACTGCTCGTTGCTCATCTGGTTATGAGTGAGCTGGTTGCTTCTGAACGCTCGAAAGGCGAAGTCCTAGTCTTTCGAAGGAAGAAGATGAAGGCAAATGACAAGCCTACAACAGCTGACGAAGAATCTGGACATGCTTCAGCTCACGTCGGCGAGAAGTTTGATAGTAGCGACTCTGCGGAGCAAAATGTGCAGAAACAGGTATCAATCTTCCACTGGGAAGAAGTGTGCTACGACATCCAAATCAAAGGCGAGACACGTAAGATTCTGGACGGCGTTGATGGATGGATCAAGCCCGGGACTCTCACAGCGTTGATGGTAAGTTACAAGAATACCGGCAGTGCAGTCATAAAGTCTAACGCACCTAGGGTGTCTCCGGTGCAGGCAAAACTACTCTCCTCGATGTCCTCGCAAGTCGGACAACCATGGGAGTGATATCCGGAAATATGTTAGTAGACGGACGTGAACGCGACGAGTCTTTCCAGCGCAAAACAGGCTACGTCATGCAACAGGATATCCATTTGGAGACGTCCACGGTGCGAGAGGCACTCGAGTTCTCCGCTGTGTTGAGACAGCCGCCCGAGTACACGCATATGGAAAGGCTCGCTTATGTTGACCACGTCATCAATTTGTTGGACATGGAACCGTACGCTGACGCCGTTGTTGGCGTGCCTGGATCCGGGTTGAACGTCGAGCGTGAGTGTTGACAGCGGTGTCTGTTCAGAATTTAAAGACTGACTAAAACAGAACGTAAGCGCCTGACTATTGGTGTCGAGCTTGCAGCGCGTCCTAAGCTCCTGCTCTTCCTTGATGAACCTACTTCTGGTCTCGACAGCCAGACTTCGTGGTCTATTTGCGACCTGATGGAGAAGCTGACACGCAATGGACAGGCAATCCTTTGCACAGTGCATCAACCATCATCACTACTTTTTCAGCGATTCGATCGGCTTCTTCTACTCGCCAAAGGCGGCCGTACAGTCTATTTCGGGGACATCGGCCGTAACTCGAAGGTGCTTCTCGACTACTTTGCTCGTAATGGGGCACCAGAATGCCCTCCTGGTACGAATCCGGCCGAATACATGCTCGAAGCGATTGGTGCTGCTCCTGGTGCTCATACTTCCATCGATTGGCCTGCAATATGGAAAGAAAGCGCAGAATATCAAAACGTGCAGGACGAGCTCAAGAAGCTACGACAACTTTCCAGCCAGCCTTCCGCTGTTATGAACTCTGTGGATGGCACTCATCAAGTATTCGCGGCACCTTTCATGACCCAGCTCAAAGTCGTCGCTCTTCGTTGCGCTCAGCAGTACTGGCGAACACCATCGTACATTTACTCCAAAGCAGTACTCACGGTCGGCAGCTCTATACTGATCGGATTTTCGTTTTTCAAGGGCGAGAACTCCATGCAAGGACTTCAAAATCAGATGTTCAGTGTCTTCATCTTCAATTTCGTTATCATCCAACTTCTGTACCAGATCATGCCTCTCTTCATTACTCAACGAACACTCTACGAGGCCCGTGAGCGCCAATCGAAGACCTACACATGGCAAGCTTTTGTACTCTCTAACATTGGTATCGAGATGGCCTGGAACGCTGTAAGTTACTGTTAAGCCTACTTGTGAAACTCCCAACTAATATTGAACTCCAGTTCATGGCCATCTTTTGCTTCCTTGTCTGGTATTATCCTGTCGGATTCTACCGCAATGCCGAATGGACCGACGCTGTTCACATTCGCGGGTTCCATACGCTCCTGATTATTTTGGTCACGTTCCTCTTCGCCAGCTCGCTTGCACACATGCTCATCGCAGGCGCACCGAACGAAGAGATCGCAAGCGCCATTGCAACCTTACTAGGTATCATGTTGTATGCGTTCTGTGGTATTCTGGTGCGTCCCAATGACCTTCCACGCTTCTGGATCTTCATGTACCGCGTCAATCCTTTCACATATTTAGTGTCCAGTTTTATGGCGACAACCCTTGGGCAAGCGCCTGCCTACTGCGACCCTACCGAGTTTCAGAAGTTCTTCGCGCCTCAGAACCAGTCTTGTGGAGAGTATATGCGCGAGTACATTTCGACCGCTGGTGGCTTCCTGCGCGATCCTCAGGCCACTGGTGAATGCCACTATTGCCAGATGGACAATACCGACCAGTTCTTACAACGCATCAATGCAGACTGGGATAGCCGCTGGAGAGACTTCGGAATACTCTGGGTTTATGTTGCTTTCAACGTCGCAGCCGCCGTTTTCTTCTACTGGGCTTTCCGTGTCCCGAAGACTAAAAAGGTCAACAAGACGTAGACTCCACGAGTTATCATTACAACCCCATGCAATTCGGCATCATGTTTAGTTTGTTGTTTAGACGACAGTCATAGACTTTGGTGTTCCCGAGGAGCACCGTCCCATCCCTAGAATGTTTTAAGTAATAGCGTCGCGCCGGACTGCATCGGCAGGGTCCAAGCATGATGTAATAGTAGGCCATTTCCAGCAACGTCATGATAGTTTAGAGATCTCAGTAGATAGTTAATTATATTTGCCAGCCCCTGTCGCGTCTAAAATCCGGGGTGCATACGATCCTCTCAGCCTCATCACGATGTCATCAAACGATGGCATTCTCACAGAGTCACAACCGCAACGCGAGCCGAAATGGTCTATTGCTGTTAAGAACTTCTCACCATTATGGTAATTGCAACCAACGAAGTCTTATGGATATCGGGCCATGGAAACTGACTTTGGGACTAGGTTCACTATTTCGATGGACACTGGGATCCTCTCTATAATCCTTAATCTGCTTCCCTATCGCTTCTCTGGTCAAGAAATTCTGTCCACGATTCTATTCGTCTTCAATATCGTCATTTTCGCCATCTTCGCCCTCCTGAGCATTAGCCGCGTCTTCACTCATCGCCGCCATGTCAACAACGAAACACTGAACTCCGTCGAAGAATTGTCTTACCTCGGTGCACCACCTACTGCCTATTTGACTCTCGTTGCGCAAGTTACTCTAACATGTAGCACGGCTTGGGGTTTCCCATGGACAGTCGTGGCATATGTTCTTTGGTGGATCGGACTTGTCTGGACCGTTTCCCTGACGAGCTTCACGGTCGTCACGCTGGTCAAACGAAATATCACGCACGATCGCGCATTGTCACCTGCCATCTTTCTCCCGCTGATCAGTATCATGACTCTCGGTACTACAGCCGGGATAGTTACGAACTATTCTACCGGCATTAGCCCTTCCATGGCAGTACCAGTGATTGTTGTTGGGTACATGGCAATCGGTTACGCGTTCTTCCTCAGCTTATTGTATTACACGTACATTGCGCATAAGCTCATTGCTGTCGGAGTACCTGCACCAGCGAAGATTCCGGCTCTGGTCATTACCGTTGGACCAATGGGACAATTCGCTACTGCGATACAGGTTCTGAGTACTGCGGCTAGTTCACGAGGGCTATTCGGAGCCTACAATCAGGGCACGTGGTTGAAGAGTAATGCGGCGAGTAGTGTGAGTGCGACTGCGACGCTGATTGCGTTGTTGGCGCTGGGTTTTGCATTCATGTGGATTACTGTGAGTTGGTACATTGTGATCGAATCGATGGTCAAGAGGCAATTGCCGTATAGTTTGACGTGGTGGAGCTTGATCTTCCCGATGGGTGAGCCCGCACTCTTTTATTCTCGTCAGATATCATTTTTAACAGAGTTCAGGCGTTTTCACCACAGCGTTGCTGAACCTCAGTATCTCACTGAACTCATCGGCGTTCCGTGGACTCACTGCTGCATTATTGATTTTCTTGTTTATCTTATACTTCGTGAACTGGGGAGGGACCATATGGCGTGTATCGCAAGGGGTTGTGTTGGGCATACCACAGCAGCGAGAAGAGGAAGACCAACAGGCAAAAGACAAGAAAGAGCGGATGGATCGGTATATCGTCAGGAACGGACACATGAACGGGAACGCTAGCAGCAGTAATGTGTAGCGGCTTAGTGGTGCAACTACATAATGCATCTTGTCTGTCAAAGTGGTCTCTAAGTCTTCTTCGCACGGAATGGAAAGTACATAAACCCTAATATGCACCTTCATACCAATATACTTATACGTAGTTGAACAAGGATAACTACAGCAGATTCTCTCCAAAGATAGTATTACAATCTATAATAGATACACGACGATGTTAGACTCATTAAGACCTAGGATTTGGGGTCAATTTAGCCCAGTAGAGCATTGAACCGGTCCCTTCCAAACGGTTACCAAATACAACTTCTTCTGCTGTATTACCACTCTTCACCCAGTCACGATCATCATCTAATTTAAAAGACTGCCCTTTTGAGAAGCAATCGTCCGCCCGTTCTTTTAATTCCACGCTCGAGGGAGCATCGTGGGGATTGGTTGTTCCAGGCGTATTGATCACACTGCCCACCATTGCGGGCGGTCCATTGCAGGCCTGTGTCATCTCCAGAAGTATCTGAGGCTCGGGGCTCGGCGGATCCGTTACGAAGAGCATAGTATGTGGACCAAAATCGAAGGTTGGATGTTGAAAAGACGCACAATTGGTATTGTCATCAGGAAAGCATGATAATTTCCGTGTCCAAGAACATCCTAGTCCCGCAATGCCACAATTACTGCCCTAGCGAAGCCTACAGCATCGCCCCCGCAAAGAACGACACAACCAGCATGCCCAGAGCGCCCATGCCCATCTTACTTACACCCTGCACCACCAACCCTGGTGCCGCTCCTGTACTCGCATTCGCCCCGTCAGTCTTACTCGCACTCCCGCCCGTCCTGCTCGGCGTGCCTGTTGCCGTCTGCGTCTGCTGTCCATTGCAGAAGATATTGCTCGGTCCTACACCGCCCTCCATGAAGCACTTCTGAAGATCCGCCACGCTCTGTTGTACGGAGAGGCAGTAGTGGCCGCAGTCACCGTTGAAAGCCTCCACAGGTGCGGATTTGCAGCATTTGGACATGACATCGGTGGTGTTTGAGGGGAGCCCGCTGATGCTGCCGACGGCGCAGGCTATGTCGGCGCTGGGGAAGCGTGTGAAGTCGGCGGTGGAGCAGGATGAGGAGCTGGCGGAGGGCGCGGTGGAGGTCTGTGTGAGCGACATGTTGGTGGTTGTCGCTTGGGGCAAGATATCTTGGGGAAGAGTCAGTGAGGCTGGGTACAACGCAGGAGGGAGATGTACTTGGACTTTGGATGCGTTGGCACGCGAACAGTGGCTTGGTGTTACCTGTGAATGTTACAATTGTGTTGGTTGCAAGGTGCTGTGAGCTTTTTCTGAGGCAGTCAGTTGACTCAAATATTAGTCGTGCAATGATCAAGGAAAGCTCGAGAAACTGGGCCTTCGTGCTATTTGCGCACGGTATCCTATAGTTTCAGCAGCTGCCGTTGCCAGCTCGTGGCTGGTGACGATGCGTGGCTCCACTGTGTTGTTGCCCAGGGGATTGGTCTTGGTCTATTTCTGGGTGCCGAGGACCAGGGTGTCGGAATGCGAGCCGAATCACATCATGCTCAAGCTTGACCACCAGAACTTGGTCTGCTCTTAGCAATGCGATGATGCGCCGCGCGAAACACTTCAGGTCGATGATGTGAATTGAGGTACAGACTACAGTGAGTGCCCTTGACGAAATGAGTTTGGCACATTTCTAGCGCGGAAAGCGCCGTGCGGCACATCGCGGATACCTAGCCTGACGCATGTAAGACGGAGGGAAAAGCCACAATCTCATCTCGATCCTTGGCGCTCAAAATTGCTGCTCATGGAACCCTTGTTTGATGCATAATAAATTAATTATTCATAACGTCGGGTCAATCCCAATGATGCGATCATTATCTACCGTTTACCACAATCCAGCCATCTCGATCTCGGTGGCAGCGTAGACAAAAGGTGCCAAACCCTTGCCATCATTGAGAGACAGGGGAACACCAACGTAGTACTCGTAGCTGGCATCTCCTTTCAGTGACCCGACCTCGACAGTGCCGGTCCAGCTCAGTGTCCCGTTGTTTTCGTACTGCACAAACTTGTCCAACATCAGATCCCACGCCTTCACGGCAGTGTCCGTGTACTCCGCCTCCAGAAGACCGAGCCTGACACCCTTCAAATATGCATACGCAAACATTGCAGTCGCGCTGGACTCGATGTAGTTGCCTTCCATTCCTGGGTACGGTTCGTTCATGATCAACCACCATCCACCGCTAGTATCCTGGGCATTTTTCACGCCATCCGCCAGAGTGACAAGGTACTCTTGAAGCTTGGCGTATCCCGGGTGCGACTCGGGGAAGACCTCGAGGGTTTCCACAAGAGCCACGAAGTACCATCCGACAGCACGGTTCCACACATGAGGTGAAGCACCGGTGACTGGATCAGCCCAGACAACATCCTTGGTCTCACTATAGCCGTGCTGGAGCAAGTTGGAGGTATGGTTGCGGCAGTGCTCTTCGACCAAGTCAAACTGCAGCTGGATGTCATCCCAGGCAGTGGTGTTGTCAGGCTCAAAGTATGAAGTGTATGTCGCATAGAATGTGTCGGCCATGTAGATGCCGTCGAGCCACATCTGGTTCGCGTAGACTGGTGCACGATGCCAGAAAGCCTCCGATGGAGGTTCTTGGCCCACCTGTCAAGCTGGTCTCTCAGCCCCTTTGCAGCGATCTCGTACTTCTCCTCGGTGCGACCTCCAGCGTTCCACCAGTGAAGTATGTTGTTGCCCATTCGGATGTCGTCCAAGGTGTAGAAAGTCGCGTTCCAGCCCTTCAGCGTGCCGTTTTCCGAGACCAGAGAAGAGACGGCATTAGATGCGTAGGTCAGAAGTTCGGCATCATCCTGAGTTGTTCCTGCCTTCTGAATAGCCTCGTGGATAATAGCCATGACATAATGGTTGTTCAGCTTCTGGCCTTTTGAAAGCCAGGACGAAGACATCCATGTCGAGAATGGCTTTGACGTCTTCGTAGGTGCTGCAAAAGTCGAGCCGGCACACGCAAGAAGCGCTGTGGCAAGGTTTTGAAGGTGCATCTTGAAAGACCGGTGATATTGACAGGGCCGGAATATCTGGGTGTCAATTTGGGACTGCACACGACAGGGACCGGATGAACCATTCTCCCATCGTGGCAGCTGTTTATATACGTTGCTCAATCATTGAGTAGGATCCTTCGTCCGGTTTATCCACCCAAGCCAATGCAATTTAGAACCATGTTCATCATGCAGAAGAGGCCTAAGCGCTATCCACCGTCGTTCCACTCGTGTCCCTCTGGTACGGTTCAGATTATTTCCGCCGGCGGAGTAGCTGAATGTGGCAGATGTTCGCAGAACGAACAAGACCGGTGGGGATCTTGGCATGGGGCTAGAAACGGAGAAACAGGAGATTGGAGGATCTCGTCCGTGGCAAAGGGAAGATCTCCGCCAAGTTCGTTCTAGAAGGAGGCGTGCGCGCTTAGCTATCGGCTGTAAGCTTGCAGTCGCAAATTGTATGTGGTGGTAGAAGCCGTACTTACTAGTACTTACCAAAGTTCCGGTGAAAGACCCTTATAGTTCACTCAAGGTGATTTTGCCGCAGGGAAGCCCCAGTTTCGTCCCGCTCTTGCTCCACTTCGACGTCTTTCGCACAACCACCGCTGCTCGCCCTGAGCAATGGTATATAGCAAGCGCACTCTAGATTTTAGACATCGTCGTATGACATGCCTTTTGAATAATGAAAGAGCCAGCCTTGACAAAACTATGACTGTTGTGTAGAATGCTGTGTGTTCTAGGCGTCCATTTCAGGGAACGCTTCCGCCTGAGCGTCTCGATTTTAGCTCTGCAGATCTACCTGCCTAGGTACCTACTCTTCACAACACAATCTATATGTCCACTTTCTGCTGAATAGCTCGGCCCTCAAATCATGTTTGATAAGGTCTGATTCTGCCACTGAAATCAATAGGGTTGTATGCCCACATTACGACACTCGCAGGCTCGTCTTCCTCACGAAACAATGCCACCGATGCCCGTGCCGGACAAGTCATCGTTACCTTCAACTTTCCAATCAACATGGAAAGCGAACCCCGACCCGACTGCGCTACCGTTCCCGCGTGATAACCCACCATTTGCGCTTACTGAGGTCGACTGGCACCAACTCTCCATCACAGACGCGGACTTCACCCCCCACTCATGGTCCAACTTACAACATCTAATTTTCAACAAACAACTCGATGAGCTCAAGCGCTGGCCAAGCGCATTGAAAGCGTATCTGGCGTGGACAGCTCACGTCAAAGAAAAATATGGAAGTGTCATGACATATCTCCTCCAGCAGCGCTTGTTCTGGGACCCCATCGAGGACGAGACCGGAGCTCTGAGGTTCAACGTACGAAGCGAGACACCATTCGCAGATCGGAGCGATTACAGAATACTGCGGAACGACTGGCCGTATGCTTTCGAGCCTGGCATTCATCACATCGTCGTCTGGCTGAAGCAGCGGCTTCCGGTCGATGCAGAGGGCTCGCTGAATGACGAAGGCCGCAAGTTGATTGACAAATTCATGAGAACTGAGGTCCTGCCAAAGTTGGGGGTAGATAAGGTCGACCGGAGTATCATTTGGTTCAAGAACCCGACCAATCTTCAGAGCGTGAGGAGTTTGGAGCATGTACATCTATTGATTAAGGGCGCGGACGAGGAGACTCTCGATGCTTTGACGCAATGAAACTGTCCTATTGATTGCTAGCAAATCCTGTTGTCATGTGGCTTGTGTCACTAAAGCTGTGTTCAGCTTGTGTCGGTGAATTATTTGTGGCTGACTGATGTATATTAGCCTGATCACGTTCATGGGATGAAATCCACGGCAACTTCGAGCTTCCAAAACCACAATGGCTAATGTCAACGATGCAGAATATGTTTGCCCTTTCAACCAGTCACTAGATGCATCTGCGAGCTCGCGTATTGAACGCTTGCGCAAAGATGATCTCTGGAGCCTAGCAGCACAGAGACTGCTACTCGACTGCGAAGAATTCGTCGCTGCAGTCGACTAATGCAAAGCTATATGCGCATCTGGAGAGGTCTTCAAGATAGGAAATGGCAGATACCAACGAGTCTCGCACTTGCCAAACCACATGTTTTGGACTGGGAAAAATCGGCAGGGAAAGTGTATGGTATTGGAGCGAGACGGTAGAGGCATGAGGTACTCGCTCAAAGGTGGATAGATGCAATGGCTCTTGTATTGATGCTTTTTCTCTCTCTATGGACTTGTCTTGTGAGAATTATTCATGATTGTAGCACAATCACAGTTTGCGCCTTCCAAGGTTCCATGACTTCCACGGCCCGCCACGCTCGTCGCCTACTGCAGCAACAAGCAACAAGGCACGCCCGATTGCGCCCGGAAGCCGCAGTCAGTCCTCTGTAGTAGCTACTTGTAGTTCCCTTGCCATGGCTTGGATTTGGTCTCAGGTTGCTCAGCACTGCTGGGTCTCCAAGCTGGTGTCTGTACTGCCCGAAACTGCACCTGCTCCGGCTCGTCTGTCGCCATCATGTTGCTGCTCTGAGAAGTTCATGAAAACTCTAGGTATCTCGGCGATTATGTGAATGAGATTACTTGCGCATATGGAAGGCATTCGGTCACATGACGCGCATGCGTGATGTACATGTATATGACAGCCCACAAAGCATCACAGAGATGTATGCACTGCTCTCGTGCTATATCGCTACAGAGTACTGCAGGAACGACTCACATTAGTCTCATTTGCCTCACTAAAACCCCCCTATGCGTGCCGAATAGCGGTAGCTTCTCATGCCACTCACTTTGGAGTAATCGCTTCAGACAGTGTGCTGTCACCCCGTGATCAGACACGGCATGCCGTCATAATATGATGTGGAATTGGGCTGTAATTCATGGCCTCGACTCTTTGAGTCTCTGGGCAGCATGTCGTTGAGGTTAGCTGGGATACCCGTGAGCTCACAACAGTGATTACTCACACACAACAGAGCAGCTGGCACCTCATATCTCTGGAACTCTTGTATGAATGTCTATACACACATGGGCTATCTGCATTCTCTATTATGTCACAGTAACCCGCCCTACTCTGCCACTACACATCCTCCAACGCCCGATCCTCCGACACTGCTCTCTCGCTTCAAAGCCTTGCTCACCCAGGCCTCCCTGTCGCCCTGCTGCTGATCCTGTCGACCAATGAAAGGCTTCCCTTCCGGCGCGGGCGCGTCCGTGCAGGTTTGATTCTCCTTCACCTGGGCCTCCGCCGTCGCCAGATCACAATAGAACCAGGCAGAAGCGCGCACCAACTACCACAATGATCTGCAAACCATAGCTGGGTGACCATAGGCGAGAGCTGGGTGACCACAGGCGAGCTCTTAGCGCCCGTTAGTGTCAGAGGGCCTTAGCATAAAACGGTTGCCCTCCTGCCCTCCTCCACACTTTTACTCCGCCGCTCAACTCCACTTTCAACTATCTCAACTCAACCTCAACCTGGTTCCACCACGACTTCCATAGCCTGCTCTACTATCTCTCAAGCACGTCTTCTCTTCCTTTCCTGGTTCATGTTCTTCAACTAACATCTTCAGACCTTTGCCAAGCATCACGATGTATGACATCATGTCAACATCTCACTTTGCCACAACAATACCAACACATCGTCGACAGCGAGCTCGAGCCTCCCGTCCCACACTATCAATATGTCATGTCATCCTTGACTGATACCTATCCATGCCTTCATCGGTCCAACATCAAGTCAACCACCCTCACCTCAACATGCATCAACTTCTCCAACATCACGCACCTCCATAACACTTCCACATGTATTGACTCATCCCACACAACGTCATGCTCATGACACCGACTCCACCTCACCGGCACCCTTGGCTCTTACTCGACTGTCGACAACCCTTCACTACCGCATATGGACAGATGACCTAGATGTAGGCTCTGGGCTCAGCGACTTTCTGAGTTCGAAACCCGGTTGCACATCAGTTGGAGTTACAGGATGCAGATCAGGCTGCAGGGCTCCTACATGCTTGGATTCTATGGGCCTCACAAGGACATCGACACTTGGTATGGTCGTTCACTTCCACTCACCTTCCTTCAGCAAGTTCAGAGCACGAGTCGGAGCTTAACAGCTCGGCTGCAGCTGATCATGACAAGACAACTCATGGTGCGGGAGGACAGAGCGTCTTTGTACGTGGCCTACCATGAGTCTGTCTGGATTCAATCCAGCTGCTGATTCTCGCGCTGTTGTCTCCCTTGATCACCAAGCTGCTCCTGCACACTCTTGATGGCGGCTTCGGCTCAGGTCAATTCAAGAATGCAGCTGAATCGTCTGACTTGTTGATGGTTTGTGATGGTTGTGGTGCTGACATGGTTGGACTTGGCTTGGACGTTGGTGCTCATGGTTGGTTTGGACTTGGATTGGAACATCATCGGGCTTGGACTTGAAGGATCTCAACATTGGTTTGCATCATCATCATCAAGGAATTGAACATCAAGGATTGAACTGGGAGGAACTCACAGCATCAATGAATCCATTGCCATCAACTCACTTCTCTTGCTTCTTCGTGACGGTGACTTGATACTTACTTCTTTGGTTCGACTCACTTCTTTCTCTGCTGTTCCATTTTCTGCTTCACGACTTGACCCAGTGTGGAAATCCATAGCTTCTTTTCTTCTCACTCTTGCAGCAGCCGTCAGTCTGTAAAGTTACCGCCCCTTGAGTTCTCAAATATCTCTCTTTAGCGATGCAAGAACATCTAGGCGATGTAAAGAACAGCGCGACCTAGCACGAAAATATCACAACTACAGCCTGTCCCTCGCCTACACTCTTAGCAGCTGTAGCTGCTATGAGCACTTGCCTGGGTTCTGTGCTATTGAGGAGCCACGCGACAACAACGCGACATCCATGTCTAACGTAGCCACCAGGCCAACGTGACAAGCAATGCTTGCATTGAGATAGCAGTAGACTGAGATGAAGCAAGAAGATAGTAATTGCGCACATAAAGATAGTGATGCACGCGGAAGCTCGCAATTGAGGGTGTAGATTAGCGAACGACAACCCTGGCCTGGGACCCGGCTAACCTCAATTTCAACCTCATGTCCACCACGCTCTTTTTGCAAAGTTCTTCACCTCGCTGTCCGCGCTCTCCGAGTTGTGTGTTGAGCTGCTTATACGCGTCATCGAATACCTGTGACTCAGGTTGCACTCCAACCACCGTCTAGACCCGCGCTCATTTGGCGCATCTCTAACTTAAATCAATATTGTACAACACTACATCCATCTGACTCGCAAACAAGCGCTACCTCGCGCACATCCGCACCCTTCCGCGCCAAACTTAAAGTTGACGTCAGATCTCCAGTCCCTTGTCCCATTGCCGAAAGAAACACTGGCGCCGATCGCTCCCGAGCGCCATCGTCATGGATTTTTGCTCGCACACCCAACAATCGCATGATCGGACAAGTGTGGCAGAGACAAGCTTTTCCACCCCAGTAGTCTTTGCAAAGGCTTACCCAATCTCGGCATCTAATGATTTCGATGTGCGATTTGCATAGTCCACCTGGCATGATGTCAGAGCTGGTGTGGGCTTAAGATGAGCGATGCAGTCTGCACTATGCTGGCAGCGCGTCTTCGTTTTCCCAACTCGCGACGTAATTATGGTGGCAGATCTCATTCGCGACTCGCCCTTTGGGCATATCGTCCGCCTTGTCACGCGCAACAAGGTCTTCCAGTATCCTGAGGAGCGCGACCCTGAAGTATGGAAGAAATATGTGCACCAGGAAAAGTCGGGATACATGGCGCACCACGGCACTACAGATCCGCCGGAGGAGGAGTCGGAAGAGCTTCAAAACGCGCAGGGAGTTCGAGCAAGGGAGCATAATAGCTCCGACTCTGCGTCGCGTACCCAGGTTGGCGATGGGTTCAACGAAGCCAGTGGTGTGAAGGTAGATCCTGAGAAGGGCAGGGATAGGCATGTTATCGACTGGTATGGTCCAGATGATCCGCAGGTAAGTCAATCTCCAAGAAGACTAACAGGGCAACTTTTCTGAAAATTGTATCTTGTAGAATCCTCGGAACTGGTCACGCGCGAAGAAGTTCTTTGTCACCTTCGAAATCTGCTTTCTCACCTTTTCTGTGTACATTGGATCCGCCATTTACACGCCCGGTCTGATCGACGTAACGCAAGTCTTTGGCGTCGCCCAAGTCCCCGCGACACTTGGTCTTACGCTCTACGTTGCTGGCTATGGTCTGGGACCTATTATCTGGTCGCCCATGAGCGAGATTCCGCAAATCGGTCGCCTTTGGGTCTACATTGGCACGTTGTTGATATTTGTCCTGTTCCAGCTCCCGACTGTCTTCTCAGTCAACTTCGGCATGCTCCTCGCCTTCCGATTCTTGACGGGATTCTTTGGCTCGCCGGCTCTAGCGACAGGAGGTGCGACCATTGCGGACATGTACCGCCCTCAGAAGCAGGCGTATGGACTTGCTGTGTGGGGAATTGGAGCCGTGTGTGGGCCCGTATTGGGGTACGTGAAATAAACCCAGCCATACCTAAACATGCAACTAACCATGTATAGTCCTCTCGTCGGTGGCTTCGCTGTCCAGGCCAAAGGCTGGACGTGGACAATCTGGGAGCTTATGTGGCTGTCCGGCTTCTGTTTGATATTCCTCTTCTTCTTCTTGCCCGAGACGAGCTCCCCGAACATCATGTACCGTCGCGCCAAGCGCCTGCGCCGAGTCACAGGCGACGACCGATTCACTTGCGAACCGGAGCTGGCCTCAGAAAAGATGGGGGCAAAGGATATTGTGCTCATGACTCTGGTCAAGCCCATCACCCTGAACTTCACGGAGCCAATCGTCTTCCTTCTGAATCTCTATATCGCATTGATTTACGGCTTGCTTTACATCTGGTTTGAGTCGTTCCCACTCGTTTTTGAGGGCATTTACGGCTTCAGCCTGGGTATTGAAGGTGTTGCCTTCCTCGGAATACTTGTCGGCACCCTGATCGGAGCAGCATGCCTCTTTGCCTGGCTATACTTTTACCAGGAGAAGCAGTTCGACGACGACGGCAATATCGCGCCCGAGAAACGACTCATCCCAGCCATGGTTGGTTGTTTCTTCGTCCCCATCTGCCTGTTCTGGTTCGGTTGGGCTTCGCGCTCAGACGTGCACTGGATCGTTCCCATCATCGGTACCTCGTTCTTCGGTATCGCAGCCTTTACGCTCTTCAATGCTGTATTGCCTTACCTCAGCGACGCCTACCCCGACTCGGTTGCTAGTGTTTTGGCCGGCAACGATTTGATGAGGAGTGCATTTGGTGCTGGTTTCCCGCTTTTCGCCACTGCCATGTACAAGCGACTGGGAATCAACTGGGCAAGCAGTCTTCTCGCCTTTCTGGGCATTGCATTCATCCCCATTCCCTTTGTGCTGTACAAGTTCGGCAAGAGGATCAGGAACAAGAGCAAGCTTGCAAGGAAAGACATCTAAGCAGGGAAGTAATGTAGGTTGGGATTATAGAATAATTTAATAGTTAGTCGCGGAGCCTTTCAACTTTACAGCTGTACTCTGCATGTGACCTCGCAAGTGATCCGCGCACATCGACGTTTTTCAACGGCCAGACCGTTTGATCAACGCAAAGAACCGATTCCAGATTCCCAACTAGCGCATCTCCACCACTATTACGAATGCCAAGTGTCAGGATTGCAACGAGGAACATCCCCACAACGTCGTAGCCGCAAATCACGGCGTAAAGTCGACGAAATCACACTGCGAAATGAAGTCGATGGGGCAATCACATTTGCATGCTGGACATGCCAAGGCATTCATGCACACGCGCTCTAGACCGTGAAAAGTCTTGAATCCTCTGTTTGTTGCAGACGTTCCAGGGCTGTTCCCAGATTTGCGCGAGACAGTGCGCGGAAGAGATGCTCGAAACGGGAGACGGAGATGCAGAAGCAAGGCACGGGAGAGAGTGCGGCTGACTGTTGGCCCCGCACGGATGCTGCACATGTCCACGGTGGATGCGATGCCGTGCATGAGCGTGGCGACGGAACGCGAATCAACTAGGTCGTGCTAGTGGTAGGAGGAGTAGTAGTAGCAGCAGCTGGTCTGTCAGTCAACTATTGCGCAGGAAGGCACCGGCAGCATGTGCACGACGCTAGACTAGTGAATGTCTTCCATCTTGACGTTCCTTTTCTTTGTGAGGGTGCCTCATCTGGAAAAAAGCAACGTCTGTCTCATTTCAGTGTTTGTGCACCGCCACAGCTTGCCGTCCCGCGAACAGGATTCACGGCGCTGATCACTGCCCGGATTGAACTGGGCGCCGCCTACAATTACTTGGTTGCTGGACCTGTATCATGGCCGCCGCACGAGGAGTGCGCTTCCACGACTCTCTTACCAACAACATCCTCCTCTCCGGCGACACGGCTAGCATGGCGGATCCAGCTAGGCCCGTAGTGGTGAATGGCCCTGTCCGCACAGAGAGCTCCGAGTCTTCTTCAGGCGACTCCGACCACGATCACGATGCGCATCTTGGCGGATCCGCCATCGAGCATGGCTCGTACCATTTTGCACCTCCCGTGGCCGCAACGCCCGTCGACGAGGTGCCTCCGCTGACTAGCTCGGCCTACAACAGCTGGAGCAACGCCGTACCCTCACGACCACGGGGGCCTCAAATCATGACGGACCTGCCTCCCGCCCAGCTGCAGACGAATGGCGCGGGTTCAGCGCGCACGCCGCGCCCGAGTGCCGTCCGCACCCCCAGCAACGCATATGCACCTGCCCGACGGCCCCAGCAGTTCTCCCTCAACTCCAACACGCACCGCACACGCAACTCGTCGGCTTCCCGCGCGCGCCGCAACCCCAACGCCGACTACCGCGCCCAGGAAAAGGCCTACGTCCAGCGCATCCGCCAGGAGAACGACCAGGACGACTTCTTCGACCCGGCCCTGCGCACCCCGAGCCTGGGCTACAGCACCGACGAGGAGACGGACGAGGACTCGCCATCGACGGCCGAGTATGTCGAAAACGACCCGTACGACCAGGAGACGCTGCTGTACTATGGCAACGACGACATGCAGCCCTCGATCGAGGAGCTCAAGATCCCCGCCAACCGCGAGCGCCTGGAGTGGCATTCGATGCTGGCCAGCGTGCTCACGGGCGACGTCGTCAAGCAGGAGAAGAAGCGTCTGATTGGCAGCACCGAGCAGCAGGGGGACAACACCATGAAAGCCGAGATCTGGATGGGCATCCGCGCCAAGGTCTGCGGCCGCTCGCTGCAGGCACAGCGCCGCATTGTCGACGATGCCCGCGGCAAGATCCGCGCCAACGTCGAGAGCGTCATCTCGTTCGAGGTAGAAGGCGCCGCTGAGGCAGGCCAGACGGCCGCCCAGCAGGTCGAGGACATCGTCAAGAAGATCGAGAAGATCGAGAGCGCCTACCCGACCCGCCAGGCGCTCGAGGCAGCATACCCGCGTGCCGCATCGCAGCCCTACAAGACCGCCTGTGACGCCGTCATCGCCTGGCACAACACCATCGCCCTCATCAACACCGAGATGTCCATCCTCAAGAAGTGGGTCGGTAACGACGAGCTGGACTTTGTCAAGCCGCGGCCGCGCTCGTCGCACGACCACCATCTCACCGACGAGTCGTCGTTCATCGACCGCATACTTAAGGAGGATGGTCTCAAGTCGCTGCAAGGCGAGACGAACCTCCTCTTGCCGCTCGAGAGAGTCATCCTCAAGGCAAAGAGCACCCTCATCGCCAATGCCGAGGGCTTTGCCGACAGGCATCTGCCGCCCTACATTGAAGAGCTGCTTACCCTGATCAACTTCCCGTCTCGTCTGCTACAAGAGATCATCCGCGTCCGTCTCTCCTACGCCAAGAAGATCAAGGACCCCTCACAGCAAGGCGTCATGATGGCCGAGCAAATGATTGCGCAGTTCCAGATTTTGCTCGCCATGGCTGGACAAGTCAAGGAGAGCTACCGAGTCATCTCACGCCCGGAGCCGGGCTGGGACTTGCCTCCCTGCATTGAAGAGAACTTTGACACCGTTGTGCTGGAAGCGCTCAAGTTCTATTTCAGGATGCTGAACTGGAAGTTGGCTGCCAACAAGAACACGTTCAAGGAGGCCGAAATCTTGGAGCAAGAATGGGAGTTCTCTAATAAGCTTGGACGACAGCTCCAGGGCGGTGACGTTGAGACGGCCGAGCAATTCAGTCTTCTCACGTCCAAGTCGCTTACCCGCCTCAGTGCTCATTTCGAAAGGGAGCTCCAGCGCCGTCCTGACGAGTTGACCGGCTCCGAGATGGAAAAGCGGTACAAGCAGATTCTTGACTCTGTGCGTGTGCGACAGCGTAAGCTGTTCCGTTTCTCCAGGATATTGACTCAGCGCTTTGAGAACTGTACCGAGTACAACATCACTCACATCGATCTGGACCAGGAGCAGCTAACCGATCTGTACGAAGCGTTGGTGCATACGGGCCATTTCCTCGTTGAGACCAGTGGCGGCACCAACCAGGGTGTCTACATCATCGCATCACCCGCGTTACAAGACAGGCCGCAGGACATTCAATCATTGCTCACGACATGTTACCATGCCGAAGAAGCTCCGGAAGACCCGTCCAACCCATATGTCCTCATCATTCGCCCGGAGGAACCGTTGTACTGGCCTGGAACCAAATTAGACGCCAACATACTGGAACCACATCTCGACTTAAAGCCTGGCCGCCTGCGCCTCGTCGCTGATGGCTCTCAACAACGTCTGGCCAATGCCAACTTGTCGTTCTTGCAGTGCATCAACATGGAACTACATACGCTCATCGACCAAAGAGCCAATCTCCCGCGTGTCAACGCGGAGTTGCAGAAGATCAAGAAGACAGCCTACAAGCTCTCCAACACAATTATGGACAGCGTTGAGATTGTTCGCCGCCAGACCCAGGGTCTCGACTGTCAAGATCTCATCCAGACGTGTTTTGCTTTCGCGACAGAGTTTGGTCAACGTTCAGTCCTGTACCTGGACTACAACCGCCGCGCTATGAACAACATCAAGTTGACAAGGCTTGCTCTGGACTGGGTTAGCTTCATATGCGACGATTGCATCGCTTCGGACCGCAAGACCTTCCGATGGGCCGTCGTTGCCCTCGAGTTTGCCATGATGATGACGCGTGGGCAGAATATCCTTTCCATCAACGACGGATGGAATACTCCCAGGCTCCGACTCCAAGGTGGCTGGAATGCATGTCCGTCCTCATTTCGCACTTTGGATATCATGGGCGCTCGATCCACCATTGCTGCTCAGGCCGAGAGGCAACGCCTGAACGCCATTGCTGGCACGAACTTGGCAGAATCCAAGAATTCCAAGGATGATGAAGAGTCGATCGAGTTGACCCAAATGCAGTGGATGGAGCGACTTGATGAGATTGACTCGTTCAGAAAGGAGAAGGAGAGCTGAACGTCAAGCCCTGGGTAGAGTGCTGGAGGACTCTAACGAGGCCGACAGAGCGCTCACTTATTTGTCCTCATCTGCCACCAACGTTACTGTTCGTTGGCAACAAGGCCAATTCGTTGGCGGCGGTACTTTCGGCTCCGTCTATGCTGCCATGAATCTAGACTCTGGCCATATGATGGCTGTCAAGGAAATCCGTTTGCAAGATCCTCAACTCATTCCTACCATTGTTGCTCAAATCAGAGATGAGATGGGTGTATTGCAAGTTCTCGATCACCCGAACATCGTGTCATACTACGGTATCGAGCCACATAGAGACAAGGTGTACATCTTCATGGAATACTGCTCTGGTGGTTCGCTTGCTGGGCTGCTCGAGCATGGTCGCATCGAAGACGAAACAGTCATTATGGTTTACGCTTTGCAAATGTTGGAAGGTTTGGCGTATCTGCACGACGCTGGTGTCGTGCATCGCGATATCAAACCCGAAAGTAAGACTTTGTTCACCTTCAGCTCCTTCCTACCTACTAACACGTCATCTAGACATCCTCCTTGATCACAACGGTGTAATCAAATACGTCGATTTTGGCGCTGCTAAACTCATTGCACGACAAGGCCGTACCCTCGCCGCCGACACGCGTCAAGGCCGTCAACGCTCTATGACCGGAACCCCAATGTATATGTCCCCCGAGGTTATCCGCGGCGGCTCCACAGGCCGCCACGGCGCCGTCGACGTATGGTCTCTCGGCTGCGTGATCCTCGAAATGGCGACCGGCCGCCGCCCCTGGGCGTCTATGGACAACGAATGGGCCATCATGTACCACATCGCGCAAGGCGACCCACCGCAGCTCCCCTCGCGCGACCAACTCAGCGAGCCTGGCATCGACTTCTTGAAGAAATGCTTCGAGCGCGATCCCGCCAAGCGCATCAGCGCCGTCGAACTCCTCCAGCACGAATGGATCATGACGCTCCGCGCCCAACTCAGTCTCGAGCCCCAGACGCCCAGCTCCGAAACGAGCAGCAGTGGCCAGGTCACGCCGCAGAGCAGTAGGCACAATTCTGCCTATGGAAACGGCACGTAGATTGCGTTTTTGCTGACTGTGTGTGTGCGTGTTAGTTGCGAGACGCACGTCGCATTGCAGAACGACTTCGCTGGCGCCGTGTTTCGAGGAGCGAGACGAGTCCTTGTGTCCAATCGCTATGGGCGCGAGGCGGTCTAGCTTCTCGGATCCTGCGTGATTCATATCCTCTCTGTCCCTCAAATTACCATTTCCTTTTTTGGGGAGGATTTTTCACTTTGTCTAATGTTTTTAAGCGCAAGTCTTCCTCACCTTCTCCATCCCTGTTGGAGAAAGGAAGATATTTCTCGTTATTTGTTCTTGTTGGAATTCGGCGACGCACATCTGGGCATTTCTGGCATAGCGATGGAGTCTGTCTCTTTATTTGGAACGTCATCTCTCTCCTCCTCTCTTTATGGGAGATCTTGCTCGGCTTTTGGGCGCGTTACACACCTTTTCTAGAGTCTGGACGATGAGACGACATACATAGCAACGATTGCCTCGGCGGAGGTCTGAAATATTCTTTCACCAACAAAAATATGAGAAATCACTCGTGCACATCAAGACATGGATTCATGAGAAGTGCAGGAATGTTCGGTTTATTTGCTTTGCTCTACTCGTGTAGCAGAGCAGGCCAAGGATGTACAGTCTACGTGACTCGCTCCACAAAGACGCTCCGCTCATCTATCATCCACTCATTGCCTACTGCTCGCGCATCTTGCGGAAGAAGTCCATGACACCCGTGAAGACGACGAGCAGGATACCACCACCAGGTCCCAGTCTCAGCACCTTGGGCAGGAAACCCTTGTACAGCGCACCGAAGCCCTCCTCCCTAGCGACCGTGCCAAGCGCAGGCCATGCCCAGTTGTACTTGGGCACCTGTCCCGGAACCTTTGGAGAGTTCTGAATGCGCGACTTGACGACGTCCATGGGAGTGTTGAGAATCGTTCCGACAGTTCCGCCTACCGCACCTGACATCAGATCATTCGTGATCTGGCCCTTCTTGGTGGTGGCCGCCGGCAGCAGCGCTCGCACCTGGAAAATGCATCCAAAGTACCCGGCATTCCAGAGAATGTGGCGCCACATCGTTGACTCGAGACCTTGGTAGAGAGTCAGAGGTCCTTCTTGCTTCACGATCTTGGTCACGCAGTCGATCATGCCGTTGTACTTGTGCGACTGGGCGCGGTCTTGTAGGCGGATCTTCACGAGCTCGAAGGGGACGACGACGAAGGCTTCGGTTGCGCCGGCGGTGGCACCTGTGAGGATAGAGAGGGATTGGTTCATCTTGGCGACGCCGAAGAGGTTGCGGTAGAAGGAGCCCCATGAGTCGTTCGCGGCGAACTTGGTGGCCCTTGGACAGATTAGAGGGGAACGATGTGACCTCGTGTTATGCGAACATACCTCTTTGGCGCCTCCATCAGAATGGGAGCGGAGATACCACGGTATAACCTCGATGCACTGCGGGGTGTCAACCTCAATGCGACTCTGACTTTACAAGGTCAAGCGTACCCTTCATGCTTGACAATCTTCCTGAAGCAGTCTACCATGCCATTGTATGCTTCGTCTCCGGTGGCCTTGCTGGTTTGTAGTTGTCTGGGTGGTCTTAGGTACAGTCATCGTGAAGCGGGTGACGCGGCGTCTTACACTCGAGTCTTGACGACGTCCAGCGGGTACCTGAAGCAATTAGTGACAAGTATTTGGATGCACAAGTAAGGTTCAAGGGCATACATCAACAGAATCTGTGCGCGCAAGCTTCATTAGCATTGTATGGGCGGACATGGGCTCAACTCGTCATAAAGGGTACTGACTTCGGAGACACCGGCCACGGCACCTATCAAATATTAGCTAATGCTCTCATCCTCACTGTCTCCTATGAGTAGCATCAAGCATTGTTCGAAAACATGTTGGTCGTGCAGCGCATTGCTTGTTTGGTGAAGTGCGGACCCCACAGCTATAGCTATCGGTCGCGTATCGGACATGCACATTATTCCCGCCATTGAGACTTACCGGCCGCGAATTGGTAGACGAAAGGCAGCGGCTTTGCGTCGGCTTGAGACATTTTGGCGGTTGTGAGGAGGAAGAGGAGGAGAGAGCAAGGGAAGTGAGAGGAGAATGGGAAATTGACGGGCGGCACAAGATCTGGGGAAGTTGGGAAGGAAGCGTGGGATGTCGCCTAGTAATACGTAGGTGGTCCTAGCTTCTTGCGAAATGTTGCTAATGGATAAAGCTATCGCTTCCGGAAAACAAAACCTCCTCTGGCCCGCGCGTGTCTCCGATCAATTAGCAGGAGCAACAACAAGGAACAGCTCGGGTTTGTCAGCTACCTAGTTCTGCTGCGAGTATTGCCATCCATGCGCCAAGCAATGTCAGATCTGTAACTGCAAGTGGTGTTCACGGTCCAGATGAAAGCGGGTCCCGGCTTCCCGACCCTACCTCCACTGCGCACGTGACGTTTCTTCACGCGTTTTAGACAGCCAATGACAACCAGCCAACCTCGTCGCGTCTCCAACATCAGCGCGTCTCGCTGCCATCTCTATGTCAACGCGTCAGAAGTCCTTCTTTGATCAGGATCCGAAGGCTAAGGTTCGTCCGGCGTCATACATCTCACTTTCGCAACCCTAAACATCTCCCACAGCAGTTCAAAGGCCAATGGCGTCCACGCAACGCACCACCATTCCCCCACCCCAGCAATAACCACGCTGCCCCTCCTCCCAGACGCGTTGTTACCGGTCCGCCTATCATGCCGTCAACTCAAACTCGCACAAAGCTCAAGGCTTTCCAGTTCATCGAGGGCGCGCCTACCGTGGAAACTACGAAGGAGCGCGAGGCTGAGAAAGAGAACAGCGCTGTAGCAGTAGGGAGAGCTTCAGCCAAGGACGGAATGTCAAGAGCTTTACAGACCGGGAAAGACAATGGGAAAGCTACCACCACACCAAAGCCCGCTACCTCAAAATCTTGCCCGCCACCATCCACACCAGCCATGAAGAGGCTCCCGCTTGCAGATCTGGTCGGCAACATCGACGATTCCTCGAGACACGCGCCACAACCTGTCGTTTCACCGGAAGAACAGCTCATTTGGCGCGGTTCACAGCCGATGAACACTCCATTACCTCGGAAGAATAAGAAGCGTGCCCGAAGCTCTTCGCCTGTTGGACCGTCACAGGATGACCACGTATACGACGCTGTCAAGAAAGACCTCACAACGCCTCAGGCTGATCCAGCTATGGAACTGTGGAGTCGTTATACCAGCAACAAAGGAACGCCGAGTGCGAACAAGAGTGTGGCCTTTGCGCATTTGATAAATGAATCGTCGCCACGATCCGCTGTTGCTGCAGGCAGTGTTAGCGGACTACGAAGATGGGCAAGCTGTGGTCACGAATTCCCAGCCTCGAATAGAAAGCGAAGGAGAACTCATGGCGTATTCCAAGGCGAGACGGACCGTACTGAAGACGTATTTTCTGCCGCCCCGAGCTCGGATGGTGTCATGGTTGGCCAGCCGCCAAAGTCGAACATTGCTAGCATGGTGCAGAGAATGAAAGAATGCGTCAAATCACAGCCACGGATATCGTCGCAACTACCATCAAGCTCATCTCCTTTGCCGGATACAGGTGACCGCCACTTGGGTTCTTCCGGCTCACCTCTGCGGCGGCGGGCACAAGAACAGGACACAGAGATCTCAGAAACCATGCAAGGACAAGATGCGGTCGCCGAAGAGGATGCGCAAATGGAAGAGGCAGACCCTGCGAGGTCTTTCGGCTCTTCTGACGATTTTGGAGACGATGACTTTGACGACATGGTGGACGCCTTGGACATATCACCTCAGACGAGCGTGGAGCAACTAGTCCAACCAGTCCAACATATCAGCCATGTCACAACACCCACCGAACCGGTACGACCACCCGCCCAAGAGCAGCCACATGTAGCTGTGCAAGCAATAAATGCAGACAGCGATGATGAATTCGGCATGGATGAGGACGAAGATGGATTTGCTGCGGATCTAGAGCAGGTTGCGTCTTTGTACGACACCAGGCCAATTGTGTCTCCGTCTCAGAAAACAGCGAGTGGTGTGGCGGATACCAAAAGTCACACAGCCACCAGAATGTCGGCGCCAACTACGCCAATCATAGACTTGGTAGAAGACGACGATGATGATGATGACGAGTTTGGTGATGAAATAGATGCAGATGTGTTTGCTGCAGCTGAAGTGGCGGCTACACAACCATCAGCTAACAACGTACGTAGAACTTCCACGTTTCCATGATAATGAAGAAATGCTAAGTCTTGAAGAGTCAACAGGACGCTAAAACTATCCAACGTTACCTCATCAAGCGCGTAGATGAGGGTACTTACACCACTGATCGTGGCTATCAAATGTCAGAGAAGGTAACAGCAGCTAGTCACATAATCAGACCTATGAGATGTAGCTGACGAACTTTCAGGTTCTTCTTGTCGAAGAGGAGAAGACGAAGCTGTTCAAGGCTATCACACTGCGCCAAGCTTGGTTCGACACGCCATGCACACCCAGCTCGTTCGTGCATATCATCGGGGAGTTCTCGTCCACAGGCCAATGTATCGTCGATGATCACAACAATATGATCATTCTGCACCCAGATCATCTGATTTCTGCAACGGTTGTTGCCGATTCCTTCGGGTGTCTCCGACGGGCGGTGCTGCAAGATCGCGTAAAGGCAACCAGCAAGGCAAATGCCCCGATGCTGTATGGCACTCTTCTCCACGAGCTATTCCAGGAAGCTCTGAAGGTCAATCGTTGGGACTCGGACTTCCTTCTTGAGACCATTGACAAGCTCCTGCCCACAAAATTCGAGACTATACTCGAGATCGTCTCGACTTGTGAGGCAGTTAAGGAGCATCTAAGCAGCAAACTACCTGAACTGCAAGCGTGGGCAGAGATCTTCGTTCGCGCCGAACCGCGCGCCGATGCTATTGTTCGTGAACGAAATGGGCGCCAGTCAACCATGAGCATCAACAAATTGCTTGATGTCGAGGAGCACGTCTGGTCGCCCATGTACGGTCTGGAAAGGAAATATCGATGCTACGGTCCAAGTTACCATGCAGGATGACCAAGGCGAACGAACCTTGACTGTTCCGTTCGAGGTCAAGACGGGCAAGAACTCTTCAAATGCTGCACATGTTGCGCAGACGGCCCTGTACAATTTGCTGCTATCGAACCGATACGGTCAGTACTTATTTTCCATTGATTGATGCCGTGCTAACGGGAGTAGATGTCGATATCGCGTATGGTGTGCTTTATTATCTCGAAACTTCTGACATCAGCCGCATACCTGCCATCCGTAATGATATCATACATATGATTATCAAGCGAAACGAGCTTGCCTGCTACGTCCGCGACCGCATCGAGTTACCGCCGATACTCAAAGAAGACTTCAAATGCCAGAAGTGCTATGCTCAAGAGCCGTGCTTTCTGTACGACAACTTAGTTGAAGGTGGCAAAGGTGAGCAGTTGAACAAGAAAGCAAAGGAGCGGTATGACGAGCTTGTCAAACCTCTCAAGCCATCTCATCAAGAGTTCATGAAGAAGTGGGATACGCTTCTGACCAAAGAAGAGACGGATATGATGAAATTCAGGCGAGAACTTTGGACTATGCTCAGTACTGAACGTGAGAAGCTAGGTCGCTGCTTCTCTAATGTCATTCTCGAGCCTGGATCTGGATACGAAGAGAAGGCTGGCCAGAAGATCAATCGCTACAGCTACACGTTCGTCAAACAACAAGCAAAGCCAGGCTTTTCTTTTACCGAATCTCAGCTCATCATAGGAGAGCCTGTGGTTGTGTCGGATGAGCAAGGTCATTTCGCTCTTGCGAACGGATACGTGACGAACGTTAGAAAGCGTCGCATCACCGTTGCCGTTGACCGGCGATTACACAACTCCCGCACCAAGCTTCCTGGATTCCATTCGCAAACCAACCAGACCTTCACCGGCATCATGGAGGTAGGCAAGGAAGGCGAGCCTGTCCCGGAGTACGAAGCCAACGAAGAGCCTGTGCTGTACCGACTGGACAAGGACGAGTTCAGCAACGGAATGGCTGCTGCACGCAATAATCTCATCCAGATCATGGACGATAGCGTCTTCAAAGGCTCGTGATCTCCGTGAGCTCATTGTAGAGAGTCGAGCACCAGTGTTCGGACCACAGACTACAGACATGACGCTACCAACGGCATCTCAAGTCTCCATGAACTCGGACCAGAAAGCGGCGATCACAAAAGTCATGTCCGCAAAAGACTGTGCTCTGGTCCTTGGTATGCCTGGAACGGGCAAGACGACTACCATCGCTCACATCATCCGGACTCTTGTCGCAAAAGGGAAAAGTGTGCTGTTAACCTCATACACACATACTGCGGTTGACAACATCTTACTCAAAATCAAAAGCGACAAGATTGGCATTTTGCGCCTGGGAGCATCAGCAAAGATTCATCCCGATGTTCGTGAATTCGCAACGTTAGCAGCGGAGCCAAAGGACAGTCTCGAAGCGCTCGAAAAGTCCTGGATGGAGCCGCCCGTTGTTGCTACCACCTGCTTGACGATCAATCATCCTCTGTTCAATCGCCGAATCTTCGACTATTGTATCGTAGACGAGGCTTCGCAGATTACATTGCCAGTCTGCCTCGGTCCAATTCGCATGTCTAGAAAGTTCATTCTAGTTGGTGACCACTACCAGCTGCCGCCTTTGGTACAAAACAAGGAGGCTATGGAGGGTGGTTTGGATGTATCGCTCTTCAAGATGCTTTGCGAAGCGCATCCACAAGCTGTGGTCAGTCTTGAGCATCAGTACCGCATGTGTGCAGATATCATGCTCTTGTCCAACACTTTCATCTACTCTGGTCGTCTCAAATGCGGTACACCCAGCGTAGCTTCACGACAGCTTGCACTTCCGAAACCCAATGGTCTTCAGTCTTATCACCACAAGCCGCATCCATCACGATCAAGCGCGCGACATATGTGCACCGGCCCTGATACTTCGGCTTGTTGGCTCTCCCGTTCCCTCTCACCCGACTCTCCCGTAGTCTTCATCAACACCGACCTTATCTCCCAAAGCCTAGAAGATCAATCTGGTTCGCGCATAACCAACACTCTCGAGGCCCGACTCGTCACTCAGCTCACGGTCTCACTCCTTAGTCTCGGTGTCTCCGCCAATGAAGTTGGCATCATCGCCTTCTACCGATCGCAGCTCGCTCTTCTCCGCACAAGCCTGTCTTCTGCACATACGCAAACACAGGCATCTGAGCTCGCAGCCCCAGCAGTCGGTCCAGGCTGCGCAGGTGTCGAATTGCACACTGCGGACAAATTCCAGGGCAGAGATAAAGAAGTCGTCATCGTTTCTTGTGTACGCAGCAATGAGAACAGCATCGTAGGCGACTTGCTCAAAGACCGACGACGCGTCAATGTCGCTCTCACTCGCGCGCGATCTAAACTCATCATTCTTGGAAGCGAGAAGACACTTTCCAACAACGAATTGCTGCGCGACATGATCGCCCTTTGCCGAGAGAAAGATTGGGTACATGACCTCCAGCCCGACGCTGTGGACAGCCACACGTTTGACGAAGGCGTCACGCAGACTGGCAAAACGCCGACGAGGCCAATGAACATGTCAAATAAGTCCATGAGTCCCCATGAGAGTCCAAGTAAGAGGAGGAAGGTCATGGGGGAGGTCACTGCTAATGCCAGGAGTCCGAAGAAGAGGATTGGTAGCAGTGCGAAGGTGCCTGGAAAAGTTATCACGGCGGGCAAAAGAGGCGTTTTGGATGGAAGACCGCTACTGAGGGATATTTACAATGGGGCTATGTAGAATTTTGGGTATGGAACTGGACGGGGGTCGTTGTTTATGAAGTATGACGCAGCGCTAGGATAGCACATTATTTAGGATACAATACCGTTGGATAAACGAATATATTATCGATTGAACACTGTCTTGAAAAGCGCATGGAGTGCATTCTCGGTCGAGCTGTGTATCAGTGCGCAATGCTGCAGTCTCTCACGTTGCGCAATAGGTCGATTATACCTAGAGCAGCAAGATTGCCTACAGAGCCTATGAAATGAAGGGAAATTGCAGTACCCCGATATTTCTGAGTACTTCGCGCGATGCAAGAGACCATCCTGGCAAATATTCGTATGTCGATCGAGTGTGCTGCGCCATGTGGCAGACATGCAGCGCTCGTGAGGAACATGCATTCACGTACACAACATAGGGGAAGAGGACTGCGATGTGTGACATTCACTGGCAACAGTGAAGCATAGGATGTTACCACCACAGAACGTAACAGGATTGACTCGATTGAATTTAGTTCGCGCATTTTTAAGCAAAGAGATTTTTGTCTTTCTTGACATATACTTCCACACAGTTTAGCATTGCCCTAATTGACGAAATCATACTACCTAACAGCAATACTAAGGAACATATACAACATTCTTCAACGTTTCAGCGTCATTCGCATCTTCATCATGTGCACAGTACGCTCCGCATTGATAGGAGCATACGTGACGCTGGAATGTGAGTGGAACTGTTATGTGAGCTATCAGGGAACGAAAGAAGTACGCTAGTTTTGCAATTGCTTTGCTACAGAAGTTTTACATTTAGCGTTTGTCACATTCGGTACCGGGACTAGCAAAGACCTAGCTTTCTCCGCCGAAAGCGCCTTAGTCAGTATTCCGTACTCGCAAAACGTCGGAGCTCACTGCCAAAAGTCGTGTCTGTGCGACTTCAGTTGTCCATGTGAGCAGAGGCTGTGCTTTGAAATGTGATGGTCCAGCCAGAGCAGTGCATATTGCTCTTGATCATCCAACTAGGCCAGACATAGGCAACGCAGTGCGACGGTTACAACAGTCTGAGAAATAACCATGTGGTGTAAAACGAAGTTTGGAAGAGAATCAGGAAATCATATTAAGATACACTGGAATGTTATTTTACACTTGAATCCTTCGTCGCATTTACCCGCGGATAAAGTATCTGTACAATACGTCCCCACTATAGCCTCTGCAGCGGTCTTGGTCTCATGGCTGGCAACGTACCACCCCTAGGGCTTGCTTGTTGCTTCAAAGCAACGAACTTGTTCACGGTGCGCTTTGTAACCTTTGATCGCACAGCGTCTACGTTGGCACCTCTATCAACTAGTTCTTGCACGAACTTGTTCCGTTGCGGCGATGCTGCCCCGATTGTTACAGCATAGTATAGAGCTGAGTTCCCACACTTATCTACAGCATCCACCTCGGCTCCGTATTCGAGAAGAGTATGCGCTAGGTGAACGTTTTCTGGCCAGTGTGCGTTTTCGGCGAGATGCATGAGCGGCGTCCAGTCCATGTCGCAGCGAGCATCGAGGTCCAGGTTGAGTGCAAGAGCTTTGTTGTTCTTTAGTAGAGCAAGGAGTGCTTCACTGCTGTTATGCCAGGTAGCATGGTGGACAAGTCCCCGATGATTGTCGTCAGCTACATTGAGATTCGAGCCATGTGCTAAGAACAACTCCACGAATGCGCTCTGGTTTTCCTTTGTGGCTAATAGTAACGGTGTATTTGGAAATGATGCGTTGACGTCAGCATCTCCTTGCAGTAACATCTTGGCAGCTTCCAGATGATTGTATCTCACAGCCATATGTAGTGCTGTCTCTCCATCGCAATTCGTGTTCGCGTTGAACTTGCGCCCAAGTAGCATTTTCATGCAATCAAGGCAGTCGTTGCACCTGTTTCCGTGCTGAAAAATTGTGTGCATCAAGGGAGTACGGCCTTGGTCATCGGTCGCGTCAAGGCCTACACCATCGGCGAGAACCTGCTCGAAATCCGGAGAATGGTTCACGATAGCCTCAATGATTGCAGCAATGCACTCGGTTTGTGCATTGCCACTCTCCGTAGCTGTTTCAGATGGTTTCCGATGGACTGAGCCCCATTCGCGTGTCTCTTGGTGGGTAAGCAGTTCAATAGGACTACTAGGAATTCCGATCTCGCTCTTCATTTGTGTCTGGACTGAAGGCGAGAAACCTGGGAAGCCTGTTGCTGTGTTTGTGGTGGCTTCTGTCTGGTCTCCAATGTCTATGAGTGTTTGTACCGATAGATGAGGCCGTCCTATCGAATCCTGATATGACCAATGGGTATACTGCGCAATTTGGCTGAAACGCGCTCCCAGGCTCATAATTAGGCTTTCTATCCTGCGGATTGACTCCTGGTTCTCTCCTCTATCGAGCAAGATGAAAGCCGTTTGCAAAACCATAATGTGTGTTTGGAGGTCATGCTCAAACTTCTGGATGGACTTGTTGGATAAGGTGAAGTATACCGGTCGAGTAATTCGATGCACGAGGCTGAGGTCGTCTCTATCGCCAATATTGAGGCATCTCCTAGCTAGCTTATCCAAAATTTGGTTACTTGCGGTCAAAGCGCTAAGCACGATATGTACGACGCTATTGTCGAGAGGCTCGGTGTAGTCTCGTAGCACCGCATCGATCTTGTCGATAAATATGGTCAGATCTCCAACTCTCGCCCATAGTATTTTGGCATCATTCTGGGCGTGAGCCGCGTTCCGTGCGAATTCAACGGTTTGCCACGTGCTCTTCACTGCATAATATTAGTTTTGAAGAGGCGCACCTTGAACATTAAAGCGTCAAACTGACCAATCGCTATGACAGCCGATAGTGGTTCGGCCATGTTGACGATGCTGGACGTCTCCACATTACAGCGTGTGTTGAGTCCAGAGAATAATCGATAAATAAAAAAGTGGGCGTACAAGAGCGATAAGCAGAAAAGTGGGCGGGTAAGGTTGAAACTCTTAGCCCGCGGTGATTGAGACGCGCTGCGCGGCTGACGAGCCGCAAGTAGGCAAAATCTGCCTGATAATGATAAGAAAGGATATTCAGGCAAACGGCGATATGTATGCACTCAGCCTCCGCCACCAAACAGCTGAAAAGGAGGACCAAAAGCAACGAAAGTCATGGAGATCAGCGCCACGATGACCTTGTTTCGCCCTGGCTAAATAGGCATGGCTGTATTCGACGTGGTGCGTGGTCAAAATCTGGTACCAGTCCTGGGGACTCCGCGTCATGATGCGGGGAACCAATGAAGGATATGCACGACTGGCAGGGTTACTGCCGCGGGGACCGAGCCTGATGCCAATCATGGGGCTTATTCTTTATGCCCTCTCAGTCGTGGCGTAAGCGACCGTCAGTCCTTGGGAATAGGTCATGCTGATCACAAAATGGATTTTACACAGAAGTGACAACTCAAACTTAACTTCAGGCGCAGATGATATGACGGGATATGCTGACGATATATTGCCATGTCCCGGGGACTGTACGGAAACGAACGTCCGCTCGGGGGGGTGTTGCGTGTAGGTTGACGCTAGTCACTAGCGCCGAAGCTAAACGTAACTCCTACTCCAAGCCATCGCAATAATTGACGTCTTCTCATCCGTTTCCGTACAGCCCACAGCAAGATGCTGGTCACATCTTGCAGTAAGCAAGGGCCCGCATCGTGCATAGCCTTTTTACAAAGCAGGCAACAGCCACTCCGACCTTGAAACTGCGTCGCGCCACAACAGTGAGGCAGATATCATGTCTGCATATTCGCACAGAGCCTGACGTGGTCAGGCAGCTAAGGCTTATATCTGTACTGAGTTGAAATAATGTCTAGCACACTGGCGAAGGCTATCCCTTTTCCCCCTCTGGATTCGTGATTACTCGTTTCAGGAAGCTGGGCCGATAAACTGAATTCATGATTATCGGGAACTCGCTTTGGGACAGATTGGCCGAGAAACTTCGCAAAAGTCTATGATATGGTTAGCCGTTCTCCCATTAATATCATTTAAGATTTGCACTTACAACCCGTAGCCGTCCCACTCAAGATCTGCCAGCAGGCGCGGAGCGAGGTCTGAGAGCAATGCCAGATGCGAGTAAGCATCTTGATAATTCCGTTGCGTAGAAGCCCTGCATCTGCTGACCAAAAAAGAATCGACAATCCTTTAGCTCATCTCTCTCCGGATCGGCTCGAAAGAAGTGCTAGGGAGTTCGCGGAAAGGATCAACAGTAATGAACCGGACTACCAGTTTTGGTCCAAAGCGACACAGGTCGCTCGCTTCCAGCATGTCCCATTCTACGACCGTATCAAGGGTCTGACCGCACTCGAGAAAAGAACAATCAGGGAGCAGAAGAACTTGGGCTTCTGGCAGCAGCCAAGACCGCTCCGCGTCACTATTGCCACGCTGTGCTTAGCCGCAGTCATTCAAGGTTGGGTCCAGACCGGTCTTGTGAGTTCAATCCTTCAATTTTATAGCCTTGTGAGCAAGGGAAGCTGATATTATGTAGAATGGTGCTAATCTCACATGGGCAAAAGAACTCGGCCTCACTGACCATGACGGTGTGCCGACCGAAAACCGAGAGATTTGGATTTTTGCTGCAATCAATGCCGTGCTCTATCTCTCCGCAAGCATTCTGGGTTGTTGGCTGTCCGACCCGCTTCAGTCCCTAATACTCGGGCGAAGAGGTGCAATCTTCTTTTCAGCCTGCCTTTGCTTGGCGGGTGCAACTGGTTGTGGGTTCTCACGCACATGGCCTCAACTTCTCGGTTGCAGACTTGTTCTCGGTGCTGCTATGGGCGCTAAAGCAAGTGTTACACCGATATATGGAGCCGAAGTGAGCCCACCTCATCTCAGGTATGCTTCATGTCCAAAGCGTGGCGACAATATGCTGATGACATGTCCAGAGGTGCGCTAGTTATGAACTGGCAACTGTTTGATACCTTTGGCATATTCCTGGGCTTTACAGCCAATCTTATTGTTTCACAGACAGGCGACAACCGATGGAGATACGAAGTTGCTTCGGCCGTTATCCCGACTTTGGTACTTTTGAGGTAAGGCCCAATCAAGCTTGCCCTGCTAGTTGTTGACATTTCTGGCAGTCTGGTATGGACTATTCCCGAATCGCCCCGATGGCTTCTCAAGAAGGGTCGCTACCAAGAGGCATTCGCATCATTCTGCGAACTCCGCGAAACACCGCTTCAAGCAGCTGCAGAACTGTATTACGCCAATGCTCAAATCCAAGCAGAACTCAAGCTCATCGGACGAACAGCACGATGCCGCGATGTCGAAGTTGTGCAGAACGGCAACTCGCAGAGTAGCGACCACACTCTTGTAAACACCAAGCGCGAGATAGGACTAGGATATATCCGCCACAACGAGAACATAGCACACGGTGTCGAAAGACGCACCCCTGCCCTGCGAGCTCCCGTGCAACCACCCCGGCCCTCATCTGAATCCGAAAGGGATGATGCATCCCATAATACAGCGGTCAAGTTCTGTCTTCCTCTCAAGAACTGTTTGAAGCGTTGCTGGGACGCAATGGTATACCGTGAAGATGACATGGACTTGGAGGAGTACCAGCGTCGTGCGAAAGCGAGTTTCTACGTTACCCGCGTGTGGCAGCTCTTCAGTGTGCCGAGAATCAGACGCGCTACAACAGCCGCGCTAGTCGTGATGATCACGCAGCAGATGTGTGGGATAGTAGGTTCGCCTTTCATCACTGCAAGCAAACATATAATGACTCAGAAACGCAGAATATCCTCCAATTCTACTCCACGACCATCTTCCACGACCCTAAATCTGAGACCAACTCTCTGGTAGGTCCTGGTCTCAGTCTCGGCTTCGGCCTCGCGAACTTCATCTTCACGTTTCCTGTTTACCGCTTCATCGACAAGCGTGGTCGGCGCTTCTTGCTCTTGTCATCGTACCCGGGGATGATATTTTCGATGCTCGGCGCATGCTTCTCATACTATATCAGTAATGAAACTCGGCGGCTTGTCGTGGTGGTAATGTTCATGTTCTTCTTCGTCTTCTTCTACTCCTGGGGCCAAGGACCTGGTAAGCAACACAGCCAACCTGACCATACATCCTAAACAGCATTAACACGTCGACAGTCCCATTCGCATACTCGTCTGAAGTCTTTCCACTTCTCAATCGCGAAGCAGGCATGAGTTTTGCTGTATTTGCCAACTTATTCGGAGCCGGTATGGAACCCCACCCCGTCTTGCCGAACTTACCAGTACCAGCGACAAGAAGTGAAATTTCCTACTAACACTCTACACAAAGGTATCCTCGCCCTCATCGTCCCCCAACTTACGCGCGCCCTCGCATCTTTCCCCGACCAATCCGACGATCACAAAAAAGGCGAGTTGCGCCTGCTAGGCATATTCACAGTCCTCAACGTCCTCGCACTCATCATGATATTCTTCCTTGTCCCCGAGACCGCAGGCGCAACGCTCGGATCCCAAGATTCGCACGTCAATTACATTTCGCTTGAGGAGCTGAATTACATCTTCAACGTCAAGACGCGGGAGCACATTCGGTACCAGGTCAGGGTCATGGTGCCGTGGGCGTGGGATGTGGTGAAATGGAAAGTGACGGGCAAGGGGGAAAAGCCTGAGGATCCGTATCCACTGTATACGTGGGTGCAAGTTGAGCAGGTCAATGAGTTGGGCAGGGAGGTCAGTGAGGCGCATGCAGAGTGAACATCATCCAGCCATTTCTATTGAACTCGTTGCTACGTGTCCGCGTGACCCAGCTTCGCTCTACAAGCATCATCAGAGCACCCTCACCAGGAGTGAAGAGATAGCCTAGATATTTTCAAAAACTTTTGCGAGAGCAGGCAAGATCTCTTAGAGCACTGAATCCATCTAAGCTCCTTTCTAAATTTCTGAATGCGCTCCCAAAAACTATTAGATTACTCCGCGCATGTGCAGAGCAGCCACGAATTCTGCCCGCTGCCTCGAAATTGCAATGACTTCACACCCAAACCCCACCATCATCTGACGTCAACGCTCAATGCGCAATCTGCCTTCGCAAGCACACTCCCTGCGCGCCCAACACACACCGCACATGACCTCTGAAGAACCGCGTGGATCGGGCCGACTCCAAGGCCGTCAGGTCACGTCGAAACGAAAAGAAGAAGGAAAAGAAAAGCCGTTGGAAAAGGGTTGCTGGGATGGACCTGGCGCGCGGACATTGCAGAGAATTGAATGTAAAGAAGCGTACTGTAGGTTAGCTACGGGCGGCGACTTAGTGTTTCAGATGCGCGTGGCGGAAAGACCATTCTGTGCGTGTTTCATGTGGCTGAAGTCGAGAAGATCTGAGGTGAGCGCGGACTGGGTCGTCGGGTGGCGTGCATGGGATTTCCTTGTCAGGTATGAACGGGGATACTTATGTATGATGGTGGGAGATCGGGTTTGGAGCGTGGGTGCCGGTGGGTTATCAGGCTGTGATATATATTGGGGTTTATAGTGTAGTTCATGGAGTAATTTGGTTTGGAGAATGACGTATACTTGAACGCCGTTCATGGATTGTTGGCTGTTCGTTTTGAAGTATAGGTGATTTTGAAGAGGTGTGAGCTGATTGAAACGGAATGCTGAAGCGTGCAGTTCTACATTCTGGGGTTAGCTCACTCGGACAGTCTATGCTGTTCAATTCAGACGCAGTCTACTTGTAGTGCAGCGATTGCCTGCAACGCACCTGCATGTGCCAAGTATTAGCTCACAGTTCATTGAGCCCTACAGCTGGTCCTGAGGTTGTTGCGCATGTTCTTGACAGGGCATCGCACGTCTTGCGAGGTTCCATCCATAGTGCGGCGCAGTCATCAGAATGACGTCGCAGCAAGCCACGCACCCAGAACAGGAAGGCACGCATCTTCGTACCCACTTACGCGCATCGCCTTACTCCCTGCAGTAATGGTGATTGAGCTTAAATCAACTTCCACAGTGCATGTGTTGAAGAGTTAAAGGGGTGTCACGTAACGACTTTTGGAATTCGCATTGTCGTAAGATTTGACTGCGGAAGTGGCGCTCGTCGCGTGGCGTGTAATGTCGCGACCGGTACGTTTTACCTTTGTTGGTCAAGGGTCTGGTTACGCAATCGTCTGCGTGATCAATTCTGGCGTCGATATGTCGACAGTAGTCCAGTTCGAATTTCCACACCCTGCTTAGGTCTTATGGCGCGAACCAAACATTATGGTAATCCATCTTGTCTGGTGTGTCTGATATCGACCACGCATGCCGGTTGACTCGTACAGAGGGATGTGGCTTTATGATTTTGTGTCGCTAAAGGCTAGGCATCACAAAAAGACTTCAGACCTAAATTTCCGGTCCCACTATATGATTCGCAGGCCTTTACATTCCGGTCCAGAACCGTGAGATGGAAGATGCTGCGCGGCTGAAGAAACCCTGTGTGGGGGCTTGTACGAGGTAGATTGTAACCATCGTTTCGACTTAGGATGTCTAGCAAAGGATGCAGCATGGCCGCATCCGATGGCTGTTCATGGTGAAACGTATTGCAATACGAGCTGCCTGCAGAGTTGATGCTGGTAGCGATACAATTCCAATAGCTTTCCCATGACAGTGGTTCCGGACTGGGAGGATTAGGTAAGGACACTATCGACTCGGGGATTATCAGCGGATCTCAGATAGTCGTGCGCTCTGTGCGGGCCGCAGAAACCACTGGAGATGGAAATGAGACGCAGATGCCCTCCCTCACGGAAATATTGCTCGACAGCTGACGAGTGGCCAGAGGATGGATGAACGGGCGACGGCATCTCTTTACATGTTTAGGCCTGCATTTGTTGCTCTTCTGCACAGCACGTTGAGGATTGTCTGGAGTAGTGCCCCTTTTCACGGGAGCCCTGAATCAGCCGGCATGGTACTAGCGCCTGACTCGGCTGATCAGAGTTGGCGATAGATCGCCGTGGGTATCCAAATTCTGTAGTTTTTCATCGAGTGCAAATTGCAGCGATCGCTCGATGAGGATTTGCATGCGGTTGTTGGTACATCCGCTCCCAGGTGCCGTCGTGTTCGTGGTGCAGGTGGCAGGGCGGGCATGCTGTATGCACGTTGGCTCGCACCCCTTCCCAATGCTGCAGCAGGAGTCTGCAGGATCGACTCTTTCTCTCTCTCTCTCTCTCTCTCTCGCGTTCGAGATAGAGATCTGAATTTTCATGCGACAGGCGGTGAGAAGGCGCTTGTAGTCACCTCCTGCGAACCCACCCTCGAGCCGCCGCGAGGAAGAAACTTCGAGATGGGCCGCTCGCCTGACATGGTCGACAAGCCTCATACAAGGGCCCTGACCTAACGGGGATCAGCGGTTGGCGCATACGGTGAGACGCGATAGGCCCGCCACAGGGAGCTAACGCTGTCTAGCCCTGCGTGCTCAGACAGGTCTTGGCAGGGTATGGAGGCTGGAGGCTAGAGGCTGGAGTGTGTGCAGCGCGCGCCGATTGTTGGGACTGACGAGATTGGGGGTCGATGGTCGCACGGGAGCAGAGAGACGGCCAGGAAAGGACCAGGACGAGGTTGCACAGTACCGCCGTTGAGCCGCCGTCGCTGCATGAGTGGTGGATGGGCACGATATGAAGGTACCCACGCCGATCGCGGATATAGTGAGCGACAGACAGCCAAAGAGCAACTCTGCACCCACAGCGCGAGATAGCGGTCAGTCAGCAGACGAGTGCCACTGGGCGAGGTTGCGTATAGCAGGTCCGTCTGAGGCCCAGCAGGCCCAGCAGGCTGGTCGTGGCCGAGCCGTGTTTTCCATGCTGTCTCGTGAGCCGTGAGGTGCAGCTCACAGCAATGAGGGGCACTGCGATCATGCGACCTACGTCCCAAGAATGCTTGCGCAAGACATCATCGTCGCACCTATCAAGACGGGTGTAGATGCCTAGGAGCAGCGTCCGCACGATTCCGCTGCTGCCTCTGCCTCTGCCTCCACGTAGTCGAGCGGCGACTGCAGGCGGATGCTGGATGCACAGCACATGTTTCAGGGCTTGGATGCTGCTGCATAACAATGGCGAATGGTGCTATTCGACCAACTAATACACTTTGGCCAAGCGGGCCCACCAATGGACGTGCTGCCGTGATGCCAATTTCGTGAGCCGGGGTCCCTGCACCACCTCCTAGCAACGCGCCCTCACCTTAAAGTTCTGCCAGCCCTTGACCGTCGACTTTTTTTCCCATCCTTCTTCCACACTCCACCGCTGCTCCGCCTCAATCCCCAGGTCGAGTCCGCTTTCCTCTTGCCCAACGCCCGGCATAGAGCTTTCCCATAACTTTTGTAATAAACAAACAGAGAGCTTGACTCCTACCTCCTTATCTTTTCCCCCACCACACTCCCTGCACACCCACAACTCAGCCAAAATGTCTGCCGTCGAATCCCAGAAGCCTGTCGAGGTCCCCGTTGCGGGCGCCACTGAGACTGTGCCCGCACCAGTCGAGCCCGTTAAGATTGACGTGCCCGTTGAGGAGGCATTCAAGACGGAGGAGCCCAAGACTGAGGGCGAGGCCGCAGTTGCTGCCGAAGAGAAGAAAGACGAGAAGGTCGAGGCCAAGCCTGCTGAGCCCATCTACAACGGCGCTCTCGGCTACAAGGCACCTGGTCTCAAGAAGTGAGCACCAAAGACACTTCCGCACATGAATCACATGCTAATCCACCTGCAGCGCATTCCGCTTCTCCAAGAAGTACTTCTGGTTCGGCGAGGAGGCTGTTCCCGCCACCAACTTGAGGGAGTACCTCCGTGGCGAGAAGCCCGAGGTTGCCCACCCCGTTGCCGCATGGTCCAGCCAGACCGGAAAGGGTCTGCTCTACTTTGTTAAGCACGCCGACCAGAAGGAGCACCCCGCTGGTGTACTCAACTTGGCCTACGCCACCGACCTCCACAAGGACGGTGCCGACGCCTTCGCTTTCAAGATCTCTGGCTCCAAGCACGCCTTCGAGGCTCAGACCACTGCCGAGCGCGATGGCTGGTACCTTGCCGTCGAGAAGGCCATCGTTGACGCTAAGGAGGCCAAGGAGGGAATCGAGTCCAGCGAGGGCTACAAGGAGCAGAAGGAGAAGATTGGTATGTGCTCTTCATACGTTCTGAAAAGTGTCGTATCGCCTAAGGGCGGTTCAGCGACACTACCAATTATGCATGGCACTAATATCGCGTAGGCAAGCCCACCACCCTAGCGGCCGCTACCGCCTCCACTCCCAAGAAGAGCACCGACGCTACCCCCAAGGCGGCTGAGACTGATGCGCCAGTTGCCGCTGGTGACGAGGCTGTCGTTGCCGCCCCTGCCCGCACTGGCTCATCCTCCAGCAGCTCTTCTGACGAGGAGAAGAAGGCAAAGAAGACCAAGTCCAAGTCTCGCTCTGCCTCCCGCAAGCGTGCTTCCCTCTTCGGTGGTCTTCTCGGAAAGAAGGACAAGGCTGAGGAGAAGAAGGATGAGGCTGAATCGTCCAAGGCGCAGCCTGAGGCCGTGAAGGAGGAGACTCCCGTCGTCCCGGTCACTGAGACTTCCACCACTGCACCTGTCATCACCCAGGAGATCCCCGAGGCCAGCCAGGAGATCAAGACCGATGGTGTCCCTGCCACCACTGAGGAGGCAAAGACTGAGGAGACTGCTGTCAAGGCTGTCGATGAGAAGCCCAAGCCAACCAAGCGTGGCAGCATCTTCGGCTCCTTCTTCGAGAAGGTCAAGAGCCCCACCTCCGAGAAGAAGGAGGCCGACCTTGTCCCATCTCCTATCGCAAAGGACACGGAGGCCGACAAGGACGCCTCCAAGCCCCTTGAGGAGGCCCAGGTTGCTGTTCCTGCCACCGTCGAGCCTGTCTCGGAGCCCACTGCCGTCAAGACCGATGAGGCTAAGCCTGCCGCGTCTACCCCCGTCCGCGAGAAGCAGCACTTCCAGTTCGGAAAGCTCTTCGGCAACAAGGACCGCTCAAAGTCCCCTGCCGCCACCGACAAGGTTGCTGAGCCCACCAAGGTCGACGCTGTTGCCCCTCAAATTGAGGAGACCCCAGTCACGGCTTCCACTGAGCCCACCGAGCCCGTTGTTGTAGCTCCCGTCACCGAAGCTAAGGCTGAGCCAGTCGCAGCTGAGAAGAAGGAGAAGCGTAGCTCCATTTTCGGTTCGCTCGGTCGCTCCCTGAGCAAGGCCGCCAAGGGCAAAGACCCCAAGGACTCCAAGAAGGAGACCACCACTCCTACCACCGTCCCTGAGACTGCTGAGCCCAAGGAGGAGGCCGTTGTCGCCCCCACTGAGGAGAAGAAGGATGACGTCCCAGTTGTCCCCGCCACCACCGAGCAGACCATTGGTGATGTCACCCCCGGAGCCGTCAACGTGGGCGATTCTTCGAAAAGTGCCCCAGTTGCTACAACTGCATAAGAAGGTATGGTGGGACGAAACCGCCTTACTCAACGACAGCCATGAAGGAATGATGGAAAAGCAAAGATATCGCAAATCCCTCCTCTGACCGCACGGCCGCTCACCTCTGATACCCCCAAAATCTTGCTCTGAATCTACTCCGTTGGTTCAAGCACATACTTTGGATCGAGCTTTCCATACAACGCCTCTCATACCCGAAATGTTTTTCCCATCTGACCAACTCGTCGTCGCTCATTCCTCTGGGTCAGGAATCAGAGCGGCATTGGCAAGTTGTCAGTGCTCATGCTCGGTTTCTTGTCCTTAGATTGATACCACTTTGCAATTGTTTTTCTCCTTTTGATACCACTGTTGGGTCTTGGACGCACTGCCTGTCGCTTTTTATATCCTGTTTTTATCGCGCAATACCCCCTGATACCCTCTGCGTACATCCTTATTAGGATATGTACACAAGCGGCCACTAGGGCACCCAAGACGTAATAATTAGTAATTGAGTCTGGTTCTCTAGAAATTTGTTCCTTGGGTTGACTGTGCGTGTCTGTGATGTGAATTCGATTGTATGGTCATGCACAAGTTGAACCCTTTACGAAAACTGTAATGCACACATTGTTTGCCTTGTTCGAAACTGGTGTTTCTAACCTCACCCGATCCTTCTTCGACTGGGGTGCAGTACCTTGGCACAAGGCTCGAGTAACATTGGCTACCCAGTTTGCAAATATACTAGCAATCAAAAGTTTTATTAGCATGATCGAAAATCTACTAGAATATATTCATAGCCCCATGCCTCCGAGGCGAATATATCAACCTTTTTTAAATCGGGACCGTGTCTGAATGACAACATTTAAGATACATCACATCAACCATCAACTCTATACGGACATTGATAAAACTGAGTTTATTCGCGTATTAGCTAGTTTGAGTAAAAATCGAGCGAGCATATAATGCGTAAAATGTGACGTTCCACGCGTTCGTCGTTGCCAGATTCATATCCATGTCCATCATTAAACATTCACAGTCCGTCCGCCATTATCACAAATCGCTGTTTGCAAGACAAACCTCAAGCAAGGGCCGGCACAACTAGCGTCGAGTTGGTAATGAAGCCGTCAACTATGTTCAGTCAGTTCACCTCGAAAACTTTTCTGCGGGGATGTGTGCTCACTGTCAGCGTTGTAGCGCACCATTTCGGTCGCGCTCTGCGGGCTGATGGTCGCAGCTATGTCGTCGACGTAGACGACGTCGTAGCCCTGAAATATCGGTGGTTAGTAACTTGAGTTCCAGTGGAGGAATGAATAAAGAAGAGTTTTTCCTACCTTGTAATAAGCGTCTAGGAACGTTCCCCACTATGCGAGTGATTAGTAATGATTCATGTTTGTAGGATGGAAGGGGGTGAACTTACAACACACTGGTCTGAATTTACGCCGCCGAAGAAAAGCGTCGTCATTTGGTTTTCTTCGAGCCAGATGCCGAGGGGTGTTTGTGCGCCCCAGAGTCCACTTAGTCGATCTACCACACGCATTAGGTCCACATCAATGTCCTCAGTCCCATGTTGAACTTACTCTTGTGGAAATACAAATCCGTCCCAGCAGCTACGCCCTTGACCTGCTCATCGTACAACGGGCCATACGGGCGAGCATTCCACTCGCCGCGCATCAGTTTCTTACCAACGACAGTCCCGTTCTTGAGCGTACCCATGTCGCTTCCAAACGTCGCTAAATTGAATCAGCTGCCACCCCTCAAAGAAACAGACTCTCACAAAGAATCATGGGAAAAGAAAACTCACTCAAAGGTCCCCCGTCATCTGAAAACCCCGCCAACAGCGCCGGCGGCATCTCCCTCAAATCGCGCCCATCCAAGCCCCAATTCACCCACAGCACCTTCATGCCCTTTGCGCGGAATGCCTTGATCATGTTCAGCGTGGGCTGCACGGCGGTCCTCCCGCCCTCGGCGCGCGGACTGAGCTCCGGGTTGAGGAAGAATTCCTGCATGTCGATGATGACGAGGGCGGAGCGGGAGGGCTCGATGATGGCGGTTTTGCGAGCGCCGGTCATGGGGATGCGCAGGGGGTTAGTGACGGGCGAGACGAGCGAGCGGGTGAGGTCAAAGGTGGCATTGGGCAGGGCGAGCCAGTGGTTGTAGATGTTGCCGAGGATGGAGGTGTTGGCCGTGGGGAGGGAGATGGTGCCCCAGGTGGTTATCTGGTGTGTTTAGTATGGCGTTTTTGTAGGTTAAGTTGGAGATATTTTGGTAGTATCACGTACGAGTGAGGAGCTTGCGAGTTGGGCAAGACCCAGGGCAGTCACAGATGGGAGCTTCATTGTGGCTGATGGAGTGAATGTACCTTGACCGAGAACGAATGTATGATTCCGAAAATTACAAGAAGATCTGCAGGCTTTATAATGATTGGTATGTTAAAAGCGCATCTATAACCCTGGCTTACAAGCCGGAATACCGCGCACTTCCGGGCCCAGAGTTGCGTACCTTGAAAAGCACAATAGTAGGTCATTTCAGGAGCGACCAGCAGCGATCGGGCCGGTTCAGGCAAGTACAAGTGTGCCTAGGCTTTTGGACCGACATGGCCCCGGTCCGGTGAACCAGTCTGGTGTCCGCGGAGCACTTTGATGCCAATGGATTCGAAGGTGGGAATACAAATCTATGCTTCAGGTATATGGACCGCCAAAGTTAGTAGACGGAGATGGATGGATGTGGAGTTGGGAGAGGCGGGTAGGAGCCGAATGTGGGACCGAACTGCACATGACTCGCCATGGACAATGATTCTAATCAGGCCATCTCACATCATCTTTGTAGAAGACAATTTTCAATTCATATACAGATTGAGCGATACGTCAAGCGTCATTACGTGATAAAGAGGGAGCTTAACGAGCAGCGGAACTAGAAAGGCAATCTTCAATGGGCAAGAGGATAGACCTCAGCAGGATCATAGGGAATGTTTGAAGAGGTAGATGCACAGCGGGTATTGTTTTATGCTCAAATTCTGTGCAGCACAGTGGAGTGTTGGGACGAACCGAGTGCAGGGTGTAGTTGTAGGTAATGAACGCAGACGAGGGAGACTAGACAATAGCTGTATAATCCTCGGTTATATGGCTAAATGTGGACTGGGGTGCTCCAGGCTAGAAAGACATTTCAAGATTATATTTTCAATCAACAACAGTAACAGTATCAGGGGCGCATCTACTCTTGGCTGCCAGTGAAGGATGGGACTTTGCCATAGATGATGCGGACTACTGAAGGTTGAGGTCAAATCAGGTAAGCGAAGCAAGGGTGGGGATTGACCCAGACTAGCGCAGAGCTGTGCTACGAAGTCATTTCAAAGCAACAGAGACCAGCAGCTTCGAAACGATGACCTGCACATTAGAGGATATCGCTACGGCCTGGCACGTGCAGGCTTCGAAGCATCAACCATGAGAAAAAGACACGAGGGCCGGCATTGGTCTGGCGGGTGGCGGGCAGTGCAAACAAGCGCAGTGCAGGCAGGTTGCCTCCAAGGTCCAACGACTGATACTCCAAGGCAAAGGCACAGCTCGAGGCCCGCCCCGCAGCGCCATTTACTCTCCCACCACGCCTAGCCGGCTTCCAAACCGCACTCATGCGACCTTTTTTCTGCTGTTTGCACGCCTCTGTCTCATTGTTACCGCGACCTGCACATTTTTCTTATCATTAACAGCCTCGTTGGGCGCAGGGATAGTCTTCATTCGCCATGGTAAGTGACATTCCGTCTCAACCTCGGCACCATACAAGTCCAAGACAGCCGTACTGACCGTGTGTCCAGGGCTGTTGCGCCTCTCGACCGGCAGGCTCAGACGCCGCTGAGGCCATCCGCGCGCACTCGTCGTCGCGCAACATCACCGCGCCGTCCACGCGACCAGGCTCTCCACAATCGCCACGCGCATCGCATGGCAACTTCACCCCCGCCGTGGGCCGCCAGGACCCTGTCGACCGCCCGAACACGCCACTGACCGCCATCCCCATGTTCCAACGCGCAAAACTGCCAAATGCGCTGGCCTCGCCTGGTCGCGCGAAGCCACTGACAGACTCGACGAACCAGACGTGGACGCGGTCGCGGCTGGACAAGGAGCGCAACGACTGGTGGGATACGCAGGTCACGGGGTCGCAGGAGGTTTGGGGCGCGATACGGTTGGCGGCGCAGAGCTTGCAGGCAGGGAAGCTGCGGGATGCGCAGGGCTGGCTGGAGACGCTGGAGTGCACCTGTCCGACGGGGTGTTTGTGGAAGGGCGTGTACGATTCGACGGGCGTGTTATATAAAGTGCCTGAATGGCTTATCGTGGAGCCCGAGGGACTGGTGCCTGAAGAGACGGAAGAGGACGATCAAGGCGGTCCTGCTGGAGGAGTCGACGAGACCCAGGACGACGATGACGATGAGGAAGACGAGCCGGTCCTTGTACGTGTCAGGATCAGTCGAGATGGCCGGGACGTCACAGTGAAGCTCCGAAGGAAAGAGCCGGTCGCATCGATTGTCGACAAGATCAAGGAACAAGCGGAGGTATGTTCACCGCATCTCAGCGGTCAAATGGGAGAGGCGCTAACTGTGTGCAGCTCGATTCTTCGTCCAGTATCCGCCTTGTTTACGGTGGACGTATCTACCAAGACCGTGAAGTTCTCGAGTCACATCCATTCTGGAATTTCGCCAACGACTACATCATCAACGCGCTGGTACGAGAAGCATAACTGTCCACATGCTCTCACCACCATATTCCCCATCTATTGCCATCTCAACGTGGCGAGCATCTAGGACGGAGCTTAACCGCCGAATCGCCACTGCCATGTCTATGTACCGTCTTTGAAGCACGTGTCCGCAATAGTCGACAGCGATGCTAGTATTTCTTAACCCTCCCCCTGCAAGCATCAACTCTTTCATTCGCAGAAGCGCATTCGAGGCATTTTAGATACCCCATTTCGTTTTCAGACTGTCGACACACGGCATGTGTGATGGCTGCATGCATTCAGGAGTTCGAATCTATCTCTACTCAGGTATACTGTCGTAATAATTAATGAGATTTATCGGAATTGCCAGTTTTCTCACGTCTGTAGCAGAATTCTCTAGAAACTCAAAGTAGCCCTTCTCATTCTACCAGTCTGGACCCAGACTCACCACACAAAATGAACGATGACTGAACCACATGCATCATCATCAAAGCCAGTCATACTCGTGTAATTGGGTATCATTCTCTCAAGCACTTCATCCTCTTCCCCTCCCCCTCCCTCTCCCTCCTCCCCCTACCACCACCCCTACCCCCTACCGCCCTTTCCCCCTCGCACCCCTCGCACTCCCTCTCAAACACGCGCTCCGCACTAAACTCCACATCCGCGAGTCTTATATAGCTCGGGATCCCCGCATCCACAACCGCCAACACAACATTCCTGCTCCCCTGCTTGAGCTTCTTGTACAGCTGCTCGCCGGGCGCGGGTTTGTGCTCGGGCACCTGCGCGAGGAGATCGGCAATCTGGGCGCCGGTGGGCAGCGTGGTGGAGCGCGCGTCGACGACGCAGATGCGGAAGTCGGGTGGGGGCCGCGCGGATTTGCGGAATTTGGACGTCGTGCGGTAGACGTCGAAGTGGAGGCGGAAGGGGTTTGAGGAGGAGGGCGGGAGGGTGAAGGAGGGGGGGAGGGAGCGGTCGTGAGAAGGGATGAGGTGAAGCAGGCGGTAGATGTCTGCGTAGGAGCGGTAGAGCCCGGGTTTTATGAGGGGGCCGAGGGCGTATTGCTGGGGGGGTGATGGTGTGTGTGGGCTGGCTTATGCGGCGCCACAGGTCTGTGAAGAAGCGGGTGAAGATGGTAGGCTGGGTTTTTGTGTCTTGGTCTGGCGATGCTGCAGGCGCGGGGACTATGTCGCCGCGATGCTCGTTCCAGGTTCCGGTGCGGAAGACGACGTAGCCGGAGCGCTTGAGGCCGGCGTAGACGTTGTACATTTCGAGAGTGAGTTTGCCGCCGACGCCGCCTTCGAAGCCGATGAAGGCTGCGTACGCGGCTTGCAGGCTCATGGGTGCGCCGTCCTCGATCTTGTAGATTGTCTCGTCGCCGTCCTCGCGCTTGACGGGCCATCGACAGTCCAGCGTTCCTCGCTCGATCAGAAAGAGTGCTTCTTCTGGTAACAGCCACTCCTTCCCGGCCCTCGATTGCCCAATCGTCTGAAAGTGCTGTGATTTGACTTTATCCACGACCGCCATGTTACTCTCCGGCTCGTACATTGCTAGGACGTGGTTCTTTTGTGTATGCGACCTCTGCCACGACAAGACACCATGCATAGCCTGCCGCGAAGCTTCCAACTTGTCGAGCTGTTGGTTCGTCGAGTGGCTCTCAAAGTCCTTCTCGCCGCGTTTCGGGAGCGTCAGCGAAGCTACATCGTGATGTGCTCTGTAGTCTGTTAGCTTTCCCGAAGCTCAATGTGACTAAGAGTTGCGAACACGAGTTTGTCGAAGGAGCAAAAGTCCTGGTCCTCCTCCATAGCATCGTTATCTGTGGCATCCGGCGCGCGCAGATGCGCGAGCTCTTCGTCTTCGTCTGCCATTGTCGTCATTGAATTCTGGTCATTGGCGTGAAAGTTGTTGCGGGGAGCTTTTCGTGAAGTAAAGCTAATCGATAACTTTCCGCGCAATGACTCGCATGTCGCCTCGGCTAGACTTGCCGTGTTTGCGCCGGTACCTGCAGCATATGAACAGTAAAGTTCGGCATGTATTAAGTGTTCTTGAAATGAATCTGAGAATCCCAGGCTGCTCTACATCAAATCCTCCTCGTCCACATTCTCCCCTCTCCGTCCAGCCAAATACACCCTCCCACTCTCATACGCCCCTAGATACAACCCAGCGCCTATAAACGTCCAAACATCTCTCAACGCACCCCCTCTCCACAAACCCTTAACCCCCTTCTCCGCCATAATCTCCTGCCCAATCTTCCAACTACTTTTTTGCTCCGACCGCCCCACATCGATGTAAACTCTTCGCCGCCTTTTTGACCGTATCCTTGGACGACTCCACCGACTTGCCAAACGCATCCACCAGCCCACCCGCCTTCGGCTTCGCTTGTGCCTGTGAAGCTTCTTGCGCGGCATTATCAGCTGCAGACAACATGATCCGCGTCTTCACCACATCAATCGGCGTGGTAATAACCGCGGCCACGGCCCCCGCCGATCCCGCACTCACCGCCGTGATACTCCCGCTCTCCCAAATCGTGCCCGTCGTCAACCCCCGCCGATCCCTATACTCTTTAATCCCCAGCTTCAGCCGCTCAAACATGGGGAACTGCATGGCTGTAAAGGGCAAATTGCGCCCCGCTAACGCGGTATAACCCCGCCAGAGTGCTAGAGGGTTTGATTTGAATTTAGTCAGGGTTTGCATGGTGGCGTTTGTTGGCGAGCCTGCTTTTACCATTTGCGCGTTTTGCTTGATGACTTCTGCGGGGGTGAGGATGGGCGCAGGAGACGAGTTCCGCGAGGGAGGATGCGCCGGGCGTGGACGACGGCGATGGGTAAGACGCCATTGGGTGATGGAGGAGGTGGTGTTGAGGCGGGTGAAGAGGGTTTTTGTGCGCTCGTAGGTGGTGAAGAATGCTACCTGCTGGGGTGTGTTAACATCTCATGTACTGCAAATGGTCCGACGGTACGGTAATTGTGAAATGAGATAGATATTCTTACAAGATGGCAGCGTCGCAATAATCACGCTCCCAAGCCCTTGATATACCCCTCTGAATAGCGCACGATTCACCTTCCCCGTCTGCCCATCTGTGTAAAACTTTGCATAATCCGGGCTTTGTATCCTCGTCTTGATAGTATCAAGCGGGTACACAAGCAGATCGACCGTGAAAGCAGCAATCGCACCAGCCTGTGAAGTTCAAAAACAAAAAGTCAGAACACACAACAGCTAGGCAAAGGGCATCACACAAACTTACAATCAAGATGTCTGAATTAGTATTCCCAGACATGTCTGGCTTGGAGGTTTTGTTTTGGCGATCAATGATTCGGGTCAAAAAAGTTGACGCGCAGTGCTGATCATTCAAACAAGGGTCCTCAAGGACGTCACCGATACACACGATCCGATACGCCAGACATCATCTCACGTGCGCGCATCCTTCACAGCGATACCGGCACACGCTCGGCGATCTACATCTCGGTGGTTGTCTAATCTGATGCCTGAGATATTACGCGCGGATATCTGCGATGACTTTAATTTCCGTGCCCGGCCAGTATATATGTGCACACGCGTATAAGACACCGTGCTGCTTTGCCTAAAGTCGTGAAACAAGACAGGCATGTTTATCAGCTGCATGCCTTCAGAAAAGCCGTCTGCCTGTAGGAATAAACAAATTGTTTGGCCACCACTTGGCGGTGGAATGAATCACGATGGCGTGCATAAATGCCATTGGCCAACCTTGCATCTCAACCTATTTTTCCAACAGTCACACAAAAGCCACTGACATCAAGCAACCTAAGACATGTCTCAGCTATCAATATATGCTGCTATTCGGCACTAAGCATACTCTGCTATGGAGATCACTTTTCTTTTGCCCCCATTTGCCCAACCATTCTAAAAAGCCGCTCACCCAAGCCTGGGTGTCGGCGCCGCATTGATGTAAAAAGCAATGAGAAAATGGGTATATCTACATGTATCTTTGCCCCAGCTGTGCCATCAACGCCAACCGTATCGGAGAGGACACCGGAAAAGCAGTCCTGGCCAATGAAACTGCCTGGTATTCAGTTTCTCCCACATTCCAGACCCGGCTTTCGCTTCTGTTGTGTAAACTGCCACAAACGCCTGGAAATCACTTTTTTTGTAAGACATGTTTCGGATATGAGCCGCAGATCGAGCAAGTGAGACTGGACGAATCAGAGCTTTGTGTCCTGTCGAGTCGAATCGCTCAGGCGCCGAAAAGACTGCATTGTCCCACTCGGTCCAGGTCTGACATTAGCTCCTGGGGTAACATTACTGCCGCTGCTGGTAGCGGTGGTCGTACCACCGGTAGTTCTAGCTGATGAGCTACCAGCAGAGTTGGACCGGTTGTGGAGGTGTGAGCTCATTAGCCAATGCAGCTGCATGCGCATGCTGTTGATGGCGGTGTTGGTGCGCAGCATCTCCTCCTTTACGCGCGTGCTCTCGTTGAAGACCATCATGTTGGCACGGCCCTCGAGCTCGGTCATGGCGTTGGTAATGCGAGACACTTCTTCGCGAAGGGAGTCGTGGAGTGTAAGGAGGTGGTGCACCTGTGAGTCAAAAGGTGGCTGGGCTTGAGAATTCTCGTTGTCTTGTGTAACGGGTGGAAATGAAGCTGGCGGCAAATTGAAGTCTGTGGGGGCCTCGGCATCGTTGGGGTCCAAGGGATCCGTGACCGGAAAGGAGGCATCGTTCGAATTGGCTGGGTACAGCATGTTGGTGATGTTGGTGAGGCCGTCCTCGAGAACGCCAACCTTCCTGATCAGCGGCTCCATGCGCGCCTCATTCCGCTCGATGCGAGCCTGTTGTTCGCGGAAATGAGGGGCCATGGTCGCCATGGCACATGCCTTTTCATGATGCAAGACGTCTGCGCGCTCGTCTCTGAAGGGACAACCGACAATGGCGCCCTGGCAAGATATGATGTGCTTGGGGCAGTCCCTGTTGACGTGGTTCTTCAAGTCGAGACGCAGGACCTCGACCGCGCACAGGCTGCAGGATGTCAAGCGATTTGCACAAGAGTTGCGCTGGTGTTCCTGCAGTGTACAGTGTTTAGCAATCGCCATGTCAACATGGTCACCAGACTTACCTCGAGATCTTTCTTCATCAGGGAGGTGTGGCAGTCATCGCAGTTGACGGTGTAGTGCAGGCAGCCCTTGTGGTAGTCCTTCTGGGGAATGTGCAGACGACACTCCCTCACGGGACACTCCACCGGCGTGTATTCGCAGTATATCATGACATGGTCGTGGACATTGACGCGGTGGTCGACCCAGTCGCACCCAGCCTTGCTGTTGGAGCACTTGACTACAAGCTCGTCCAGCATGTGCTCGATGATCTTGGGCACGGGACGCAGGTCGCGAGTGGTCTCAATATTGTGGCGGCACGTGGGGCACGTCTTGCGGGCATTGGGCTGCGGGGCCCAGGCATGCTCGAGACAGTCATGGCAGAAGTAGTGCTCGCACGGCAGCTGGACGGGCTTGTCGAAGGGCGCGTGGCAGATGAGGCAGACGAGGTTGCTGTCGGGCGTCGACACGTACTCGAGGGCGGCGAGCTCGGGCGGGACTTTGACGATTCGGCTGCGGCGACGCTTCGAAGATGGTGAGTTTGACACGCGCAGAGCGAACGGCGAGGGACTGCTGGGAGGGCCACCGACCATTCGCAACTCGCCCGGCTCTGCGGCCACATCGTCTGGCGTCTGTAGCGGCAGGCTGCTGCTGCTCGACGCGCGCGAGTTCCGCCGGTCGTTGGGCGGCGGGATGGGCGACGGCGCGGACATGGTGGTCGAGGTGAAGCAGAGGCTCGCGCAGGCGCAGCTTCACCGGACAGGCTGCCCGTCCCTTGGCAGTATGCAGCAGCGGCGGGTGCTATCAAAAGGCGGTCGGGACGGCGGGGTGCGGAGGACGGGAGGCTGGGTCACTGTTCACTGTTCACTGCTCACTGTTCACTGCCCACGAGCATAGCTCCGGGAGCTAGAGGGCGACGATATATATACTAGCAACAAGGGCGTTGGCTGGAATGGAGGCATGCTTCCCGATACGGCAGGGAGCATGCGGGCGGTGGTGTGGCTCTCTGGGGTTGTGCAAGAGCAAGACAGCGGCCGTGCAGCTGGGCCTGGTGGTGCCGCTCGGAAGTGATCCGGGCCAAGCAGCGTGCATGATCGATCCCCATCCATGCCGTCAGCGGTCCGAGAATCCACTGCCGCCTTGCGACGACTCCACCCAGAAACGTCGTCCGTAGGGGCCAGCTCGACCACTCGCCCACTCGACCAGCGCCATTTTGTGCACGCGTTTGATGTTGATTGTTGATTGTTGATTGTTGCTGTTTGCCGGCCAACGTAGCTCTCCTGACCCGCACTCGTCTGCACCTGCCGCTTTCGTCATCCCAGCTTCACTCCACACGCGGACATTCAACGCTCCTCCGCGTCCACCACGTCCACCACGTCCACCACGAGCCCTCCACACCTCACCCGTCGCCATGGCCACCAACCCGCCGCAGTTGTTCCTGCTGTCCGACCACATCAAGCTATCATTGCTCGAGCGCCAACGCGCCATCTCGCTGAACCTCCCCTCCACCAGCCAAGATGCCCAGATCTCGCGGTCCCTCGAGCAATTGCGCTCAGGCATCGAGTCGCTGGAATCACAAGTCGCAGACACATCCGACGAGTGCGTCACCACCACCCATCCCTCCCCCATGCCCTTCACATGCCATACTGACCCCCCCACCCAGATCCATATCCTCGCAACTCCCGCGCCTAAGATCCCAACTCACCGACCTAACCTCGCAATTCTCCCGCACCGCCGCCCCGACATCATCCACAATCACACACCCCAACGACCCCTCCCTCCAGCGCGACTTCACCGCCGCGCAGTCCGCGCCCCCGAAATCCAAATCCGTGCGCTTCACCGACACAGCCGACGCCCCGGATCCCAACCGCGCACAGCTATTCCCTTACCGCGACGACCCGGACCCGGACGCTGCGCCCGACCACTCCGGCCTCGACAACCAGCAGATCCACACGTACCACAGCCAGGTGCTGCGCGAGCAGGACGAGCAGTTGGACGTACTGGGCGCGAGCATTGGGCGGCAGCGCCAGCTGAGCGAGCAGATTGGCGAGGAGCTAGAGGGCCAGGTGTTGTTGCTGGATGATGTCGAGGAGGGTGTGGATAGGCATCAGGCGCAGTTTGTGAGGGCGAGGGGCAGGCTGGATCGGTTTAGTCGCAAGGCGAGGGATAACTGGAGTTTGACTGTGATCGTCGTGTTGATTATCATTCTGCTGCTGTTGATTGTTATTACAAAGTAAGTCAGCGAGAGATGTTGTGGTTACATGGGCATTAGAGGCGTTTTTGGGAGCTCGTGGTGAATCACCCGGCTATATGCACTTAGTACCGTTTGTCAGCACCTTGTATCTAGCGTGCAGCATTTACCCAAATATATAGGATGGCTATTTCGATCATATCTTCTCTTGTAGCTATGATACATATGACAAGAAAACATCCAATCCTCTCGGTTTCAACACGGCACCCTCATTCGTAGCATCAATGAGCCCAGTCAAAGCGCTCATGCTCCCAAAACGCCATGCGCAATGCAATGGTAAATCAATAAAAGGTCAGCCGTAGCTGCACCGTAACAATGCCGACATTGGAGCGCGAAGGGTATCTCGGTATCGATATGCAAATGAAACTGCTCGTAGGGGCGTACTATGGTATTGGCTCCGGCTGCTAGGACATGTATGTGTAGTTCGACAATGATGTGGGTGCCAGATTTGTCGTGTATTGCGTGATGCCCAAACCCTGGTAGCTGTTACTTCGCCAATCTCGCGTCCAAAGACGTGGCGCTGTTCCGCTCTCCCCATCCAAAGATGCGTGGATCGGTATGCAGGATTTGTTCTGAATAGTGTGCAATTGGAGTGAGTGTCAATCTCGACTCAGCGCAGACCGATGATCTTCTTCGACTTGTCGTAGACGACGTAGGTGATCGATACGGCAGGTACCACCTTGAGCAGGTTTGGAGTCAACCCCTTGAAGAGACCACGCCATCCTTCGCCCGCGATGGTCTGTCTTGTGACGTCGACAATTCCAGTGTACGTCCGAGGATGCAACACTGTGCCTTGGCTTTGTAATCGAGTTCGTAAAACGTTAAGCGGATATACCGCACTGGCTCCAAAAGCTCCTGAGAAGCCACCGATGGCCGCTGTCATGAATCCTCCCGGCTCAGCATCTTGCTCGTGGCACCCGAGTCTCTTCGCATTGCGTCGTGCAACCGCTCGCTTGAGGTATTCGAAGGTACCCAGGTCAAGTGCGGCATAAGGAAAGATTCCAACTATTCCCATGGGCAATCCTCGGTAGTAAGCTGCAACGCCATTGTGTGCCCACATCTTTTTTGCCGTAGCGATGATCAGTCGGTTGCCGTGTAACCCGCCAGAAACAGTCTCGCATTGCATACGACTACGAATCATTAGTTTTAGTGTTTTGCATAGGAGGGAGAATTCACTCACAATTTGAGGGTATCAATAGGATATACAGCAAACTGAGAGACCATGCCTACTTGTTGTCAGCAAAGTTTTAAGAAATCCTGGAACTATAAATGCTCACCTGCAAGACCACCCGCAACGAACTTCGACCAGGAGTGGATCGCCGATGGATCGTTGTGTCCTTCAACTGTAGCGAATAGACGTTTCGCAGCCTTGTTACGTCAGTGACAGTACATGCTTGAATATGGCGACACTTGCCTCATATGAGCCGAATTTGATGGCAGACTCCGGCATAACTTTGATCACGTTCAGACCATTACCTAGAGGCCACATCAGTGCACGTCACGTACCAATTTTGCGCAAGACTTACCGGCGTAGAGACTGCGCATGCCGCCCGCCTGCCATAATTCCTTCATGGCAGTAGCGAGCGGTGTCCATGCATTGCGCACGGCACTGATGACGTTTCCAGACTTTGCGGCGACAACGGCTTGTTCAGTAGCAGCGCCGGTCTGGGCGATGAGGTATACTTTCAATCGGTCGAGGGGCGCAGTCGAGGTGCGAGAAACAATTCCTGCAATACCTCCCGCCACGAAATAGCCTGTATGGGGAACACAAGCAATCAGCACGGTTCCTAAGCTTTCTAAAAGCCCCGTGGGTACCTCAGTGCGAGAAGCATCAAGCTCCTCGGCAACTTCAGAACGTGGCGGGAGCGTTTGCGAGTGCGCGAGACTAGGAGCAGGTGGTGAAGCCATTTCCAGCGATGCGTTGTAATCTGAAGGAAAAGAAGTAGGCGGCGTTCTCGCTACCAGTAGGAGAGAGCCGAAGAAAAACTGAAGAAAACGCTGTGCAGTACCTAAACCATGGATCGTGTCGTCGCTAACGAGAACGTCGCCCTCCTGATTCACTTTCATCGTCGCAGAAAAATAGGACATGACCGCATGCAGATTTGGTGCACTGGCCGGTATAAATAGAAGAAAGTCCCTTTCAACTGTTAGTTCTGTACTTGGAGCATGTTTGCGGGCTCTCTTTTCAGCACCAGCACGGGCGAATTCTAGCGCTGCAGTATCTCGGGTGAAAATAAAGCGCATTGTGTATTGTGTGCTCACACCCGGCGATGGATCTCCGCAGCGCTATGTGGTCGCAGCCCGTAGCTGTCAGGAATCTGAAGGTCTCAATGGGTAACGTACCGCCATTCTTCGAAACTGATGCTGCCGTCGTTGTTGGTGTCTACCTCGGTGAAGAAGGTGTCCAGGTTGCTGTTGGGTACCGCCAGCCCTGCGCGACTCAGAGCTGCGCGGAGCTCAGGTTTCGATATCTTGCCGTCGTTGTTGTAGTCGATGCTCTTGAACAGAGATAGGAGTTCCCTTTCGGTTTCGTGTACGAATGTTCGGAATTCTGGTCCCACGGGCATCAGTAAGGGGTTATTTCGCAGAAGTTGTGAGTAAAGCTCACCCTGGTATGAAATTTGCCCACTCCCGTCGGTGTCGACAGCTTTCATCACATCGTCTAGGAGCTGGTCGGCGTTTTTTAAGGCTACAGTATCTTCTTAGCCAGATCTATTTGCACGTGGTGCGATTGGGCTCACGGTGGTCCAGCTTCCGCAGCCCCTTCTTGAGCGCGGGCAAATCCAAATGGCCCTGTTTGCGCGTGTCGAGCGTCGCCCAGAGCTCGTCGACTCGGGCGTCCGCGACGCTTGCGCTGTTGGTGTCCATTGTGGTGGTGCTGTTATCTTCGGTCTATCATGGCTGTGGGTTGCCGCGCGCGGGGGGAGCAACTCTCGAACCTGGCCGAGAGACAATGCCGAAGGAATGGCTATGGGTGAAGGTGAAGGCTCATAGGATTCGACGTGGGGTATGAGGTCAGCGCTGGAAGCTTGGAGCGCGCCGAAAAAAGCCTAGCTGAACAAGTGGCCGGCTGCACCGAGGGAAGGAACGGCAGCTGTGACCACCATTTGCTGACACATGATTGGACAGAACCTCACCCCCTTACCCCAGTAGCAATCACCATGCCATACACATCCCAGAGCCTCAGTCGTGGTGCAGACCCCATTTGTTTGTCTCAGTGTTAGCGAAAACTACAGTTCAACGCCCTTGGTAGTTTGCTTCATTTCTACGCGTTTGTGTTTTGGTTCTTCGGGGTTCAGAGCCTTAGCTTACCAGGCACCATCATTCATCCTTTGCATACATTCAGTTTTGCAATTGACGGCAGGTGGAGAACTATCCTTTGGACTATCTAGTCTCATATTGCTGCTTGGTGCCCCAAGCTGCGCTTATCTCGCCCGTACACTTCTGCATCTCTCGATTTCGTTATTGGCCATCTTCACTATCAGCTTGATAGCGTCTCTGGCCACCTGTAATCCTCTACTTAGTCGCAGGGGGCTTGTCCAAGTGTCTCACTTTTCCATCCAAAATGGCTTCTAGCTATTGGGAGTCCACGCAACGCAAGTTCTGGACATTCACGAAACAAGAATTGGCGCATGAACGGAAAAAGATAGAAGAATCGGAGCGGAACTTGGTCAACATGTATCCTTTGCCAGATAGGAGGCACCTCAGTATCTACTTCTACCACCGTATGTTCTCTGCACTCGCGAAGACTTCAACAGCTGACCGATACAGAATTATCCAAGATGGCAAGACCTCTGGGCATACGGCAACAGGCTCTCGCTACCGCACAGGTCTATGTACGTCGGTTCTACGCTAAGATTGAGATTCGAAGAACGAACCCTGCACTTGTGCTTGCCACTGCTCTTTACTTGGCCTGCAAGATGGAGGAGTGTCCACAGCACATTAGGATGGTACTCGCAGAAGCCCGCCATTGCTGGGGTGAGTGGCTTGAAATTATCGCCCGCATAATGATAACTGACCAACATGGCAGACACTTCGTTCAACGACATATCAAAAATCGGAGAATGCGAGTTTACGCTCATCTCCGAGATGAATTCACAGCTTATCATCCATCACCCATATCGCAGCCTGGCAGACATGCAGACCCAGTTCCAGCTGACGCAGGAAGAAAATGCACTCGCATGAGCCGAACATCTCCACGCCCACTCCTCCTGTCAGTATCGTGGCTGTGTCTCCGCAGCATCGTAGATCCCGATCCGTCTCATCTAGCCACAACATAGTTCGCAATTTCTCTACCATGGCGCAGACTACATTTTCCTTCAGATCAACGCACCAAGGCATGACCAACGCGCTGCAGTCACTAGGAAATGCCCGAGGCGCACCGCAAGGAGCGCAAAACAGAGTGCAAAAGTTGGTGGACTGGCTTGCGGAGAGCAGCGTCGACATTGAAGCAGTTGTAGAGTGCACGCAGGAGCTCATATCGCTTTACGAGGTCTGGGAATCTTACACTGATAAGACATGCAAAGATCAGATTGCAAAGTTCGTCAAGGCGAGAGGGCTCGACAAATGATGATTCGGTCTATCTGAAACTTTGTTGTGGCTGGCTATGCAGCTGCTGATCAGCCGGCTTCGAATGTGCAGAAGAGGACATGGAACAGTGAAGCGAAGGAGAATGCCGGATAAACACACATGTTGCAAGAATCGCAGCGTTTGGTTCCGCAATACCACCGCAGGGCCATTGTTTGCAATGCAACAATCTACAGAACATGATCAGGCGGGCGACATTGCTCACCCACCATGCGGCATTGCATCAATGGGCTGCGCCACCGGTCATGGGAACAAACAAGCATCGATGTGCGACCGAGCTCAACAGTTCGGGTTAATCAGGATGCTCATCAAGGGTGGTCAGAACGTAGAATAGTAAGCAGCCTTATGATGTTCACTCCAGATCCCAGACGATGATGCAACTGCACGCGAAGCGACAGGTATTCAGGTAAATGAATCGCGCCTCCTGGGTGGGGGATGCTGGAGTGAGCGAGTTTCGAGCACCTCTGTGGTTCATGCAACGGCTTGGCAATGTTCCAGGCTGTTTGGCGATGGCGAAGCGAGCGTGATCAAAAACAGCAATGTGAGCGATCGCCCGGATGCCTGGTTTTGCTTATGCAGACTGATGAAGAAGTCAGAGAAGAGAATGAAGGCGAGGTGGCATGTTCATCTCGAGGATGCAGCATCATAGGCGCAGAGCGACGAGCACAAAGCGCAACGGCAGGCGAGGGACGCGCCGGGTCAGCTAAATTTGGAGTGGTGTTCTTGTCGGCCCATTGGCCCTGGCGCAGAGCGTTCCCTTCACCAGCTTGGAAACGTCGCGCAGGGAAGCGCGGGCTGGCGGGACATTCAGGGTGCAGAGAACCAGACACCACGAGCGTCTAGACCATTCACGGCCAACGATCCGAAGGGTGCCAGCGAGCAAGCTGCGCCGCCTTGTGTGACCTCACGACGGCATTCCAGAACGACTTGCGGGGCTAGAGAGGGAAATGATGTGCGCGCAAGCAGGGACAGCCGGCCTCCAGCCCACCCACCAGCCGGCGCTCAACCATGCTGCTGGCCGGCGACTGCGCCTAGCTCGCCCTCGACAAGCGGGCAGCTTCGAGGCGTCGAGCGTCGAGGCGTCGAGCAAGAAAGCCGTCGGGATTCCACACTCGACAGCGCATCGTGTCGGGTTTCGTTCAGAAGGCTGGTGACGAGTGCGGTTAGAGGGCTGGTCGAGCATGCATTCCCCTGGCTACGGGAGAAAGCAGCGGTCAGGGCGAGAGGCTTGGGTCACGCAGGCTAGCAGCCCACCCCATTGTGAGTTGTCTGGCAGGCCTAGCGGGATAGCGTCGTTTGATAATGCGCCGCCCTCTGCATGGCCGCCCACGGTCCAAGATGCGCGCGCGTCAAGAAGACAGGAACTTGA